CCAGATCCCAGTGTGATCCCTGATCCCAAATCCCAGTGTGATCCCTGATCTCAGATCCCTGTGTGATCCCAAATCCCAGTGTGATCCCTGAATCCCTGATCCCAGTATGATCCCTGATCCCAGTATGATCCCTGATCCCAAATCCCAGTGTGATCCCTATCCCAGATCCCGGTGTGATCCCTGATCCCAGCACTGCCATCCCTGTGTTCCTGCTGCTGCTGCTGGCGGTCTCGGGAATGTCCCTGGCGCCTGGAGCAGCATTTCAGAGGGGTCCAGGGGGATCCAGAGGGATCCAGCAGAATCCAGGGGGATCCAGAGGGATCCAGCAGAATCCAGGGGGATCCAGAGGGACCCAGGGGGACCCAGAGCCCGGCAGTGCCCACGGACATGCCGGGTGAAGCCCTGGGTGTCACCCGTAGGGTGTCCCCGCGTGTCCTCCCCGCCGGGTCTGTCCCTCAGCCCCTGTCCCCTCCCCTCCCCAGGGAGGAGCTGAGAGGTGCTGCCGAGAACGGGAACCTGGACAAGGGCAAGGTGAGCGCGGGGTGGCACCGCGGTGGCAGTGGGGTGGCACTGTGGTGGTTCTGTGGTGGCAGTGGGGTGGTACTGTGGTGGCGCAGAGCCCTCAGTGTCCAACTGCCCTGGGGGGGTCCTGTGTCACCCCAATCCCGGGTCACCCCAGTCCTGGGTCACCCTAAACCGGAGTCACCCCAATCCTGGGTCACCTCAATCCCGAGTCACCCCAAACCCCAGACACCCAGTCCCATGTCACCCCAAACCCGTGTCACCCCAAACCTGGTCAGCCCAATCCCGTGTCACCCCAAACTCTGAGTCACCCCAGTCCCAGGTCACCCCAAACCTGTGTCACCCCAGTCCCGGGTCACCCCAAACCTGGGTCGCCCCAATCCTGTGTCACCCCAAACCTGTATCGCCCCAATCCCAGTCACCCCAAACCTGGATCACCCCAAACCTGGGTCGCCCCAATCCTGTGTCACTCCAAACCCATGTCACCCCAATCCCGGGTCACCCCAGTCCCCTGTCACCCTAAAACCCTGAAACACCCCAAAGCCGGATCACCCCAAACCCATTTCACCCCAGTCCCGTGTCACCCCAAACCCTGAGTCACCCCAATCCTGGCACACCCCAATCCCGGGACACCCCAATCCTGGTGACCCCGCTCTGTCCCTCGCAGGCGGCGCCGCGCCTGCCGGGGCCGGGGCTGCGGTTCCTGCGCTGCCCCGCGGCCATGACGGTGCTGCACCTGGCCAAGTTCCTGCGCAACAAGATGGACGTGCCCAGCAAGTACCGGGTGAGCCGCCCGGAACATTCCGGAACCTTCCGGAACCTCCGGAATGTTCCTCTGGGGATGGTTGGGAACATTCCGGAACCTTCCTCTGGGAATGGTTGGGAACTTTCCGTAACCTTCCGGAATGTTCATCTGGGAACGGTCGGGAATGGTCGGGAAAGTTTGTTTGGGAATGGTCAGGAATGTTCCAGAATGTTCTGGGATGTTTGTTTGGGAATGGTCAGGAATGTTCGGGAATGGTCCAGAATGTTCCAGAATGGTTGGGAATGTTGTGGAATGGTTGGAAATCTTTGGTTGGGAATGTTTGGGAATGTTACAGAACGGTTGGGAATGGTCGGGAATGTTCCGGAATGTTGAGGAATGTTCATTTGGGAACAGTCAGGAATTGTTGGGAATGTTCCAGAATGTCTGTTTGGGAATGGTCGGGAATCCCTGAATTTGGATTAATGGATCCCGGGGTGTGAATCCATCCTTTCCTGGGATTTGGGTCCCTCCTTTCCCAAGGTTTTTCCCGGGATTTGGACCCCTTCTTTCCCCGGTTTCTCCCGGGATTTGGACCCCTTCTTTCCCCGGTTTCTCCCGGAATTTGGATCCCTCCTTCCCCGGGGTTTTTCCCAGGGTTTTTCCCGGGATTTGGATCCCTCTTTCCCGTCTCCAGGTGGAGGTGCTGTACGAGGACGAGCCCCTGAAGGAATATTACACCCTGATGGACATCGCCTACATCTACCCCTGGAGGAGGGTGAGGAAACGGGAAAATCGGGAATATCTGGGCTGGGAATACCGGGAAAACCTGTCCCTTGGGGGAAAAAACTGGGAATATCCGTACTGGGAATATCTGTCCTGGAGAAATTGGGGAAACCTGTGCTGGGAATACTGGGAATATCAGTCCTGGGGAAACTGGGAAAACCCGTTCTGGGGAAACTGGGAATATCTGTACTGGGAATACTGGGAATATCTGGGCTGGGAATACTGGGAATATCTGTCCTGGGGAAACTGGGAATATCTGGGCTGGGGGAAACTGGGAGGAACTGATTTTTGGGGGATAAAATGGAATATCTGTCCTGGGGAAAAGTGGGAGCATCGGTCCCGGGGGAGCTTTTCCCATCCCAAATCCCAGAGTGGGGGGATTGTCCTGACAGGGGAGTGGCACTTTGGGGTTCCCCGGGGCAGGGGGGGTGGTGGCAGTGCCGGTGTCCCCACGGTGGTGGCAGTGCCGGTGTCCCTGTGGTGTCCCCGTGGTGTCTCCACGGTGTCCCCACGCGCTGCCACCCGTGCCCCGTGTCCCCAGAGCGGTCCCCTGGCACTCAAGTACCGCGTCCAACCCTCCTGCAAGCGGCTCAGGCTGTGCCCGGCGCTGCCACCCGAGGCCACCAACACCAGCGGCGCCTCCGAGTGCTCCGAGTCCGGCAGCGACAACGCCCAGAGCCCCGGGCTGGCATCACCCCCGGGGATGGCATCGCCCCCCGGGCCCACCCTCAACGGCTCCGCCTCGAACTGTCACCCGCTGCCACCCTCTTGTCACCCACTGCCACCCGCTTGTCACCCGGTGCCACCCGGCCGCGGCCGCAAAACCGCCCTGAACGGCAGCGCGGGCTCGGCCCTGAGCTAAGAACATCCAGGGATGCTGGAAATCCTCCTGGGATTCTCCAAAATCCTCCTGGGATTCTGAAAATCCTCCTGGGATTCTCCAAAATCCACCTGGGATTCTCCAAAATCCTCCTGGGATCCGGGAAATTCTCATGGGATTCCGGAAAATTGTCCAGGGATTCCGAAAAATCCACCTGGGATTCCAGGAAATTCTCATGGGATCTGAAAATCCTTCTGGGATTCTAGGAAATTCTCATGGGATTCCAGGAAATCGTCCAGGGATTCTGAGAAAAATAATTCTGGGACTCCAAAAATCCTCCTGGGATTCTGAAAATCCTCGTGGGATTCTCAAAAATCCTCATGGGATTCTGAAAATCCTCCCGGGATTCCAGGAAATTCTCATGGGATTCTGAAAAATCCTCCTGGGATTCTGAAAAATCCTCCTGGGATTCCGGGAAATCCGTGTTTGACTCGTGGAAGCTGCACGGCCCCACCCTCATCCTGCCCCGGAGCTGGGAGCTGGCACATCCCCAAATTCCCAAATTCCAAAATTCCCGCATTCCTAAATCCCCAAATTCTCAAATTCATAAATTCCCAAATTCTCAAATTCCCACATTCCCAAATTCATAAATCCCCAAATTCCCACATTCCCAAATTCATAAATTCCCAAATCCCCAAATTATCAAATTCATAAATTCCCAAATCCCCACATTCCCAAATTCATAAATCCCCAAATCCCCAAATTCCCCATTCCCTATTTTTCCAGAGGTTTTCCCTCTCCTCTTCCTCCTCCTCCCTCCCCACCGGGGCCGTGGCCACAGGGGTGAGGCCGAGCACAGAACCCCAAAACCCAAAAACCCCAAAAAATGCCCAAAACTAAAAAACCCCCAAAACCCCCAAACCCAAAAGATCCCCAAATCCCAAACCCCCCAAAACCTCCAAACCCAAAAAACCCCAAAACCCCTAAATCCCCAAAAACCCAAAAAAAGGCCCCCTAAGAAAAACAACCAAAACCCCAAAATCCCCCCCCCAAAAAACCCCCAAAAAACAAGAAAAAAAGACCCAAAACCCCAAAGCCCCAGAACCCTCAATTTAGATTTTTTCCAAATTTGGGGTTTTTGGGATTTTTTGGGGTTTTGGATTTTTGGGCTTTCGGGTTTTATTTGGGGTTTGGGGTTTTGGGGGGTTTTTGGGGTTTTGAGTCTTTTTGGGTTTCTTGGGGTTTTGGTTTCTTGGGGTTTTAGTGGGGGGTTTGGTTTTTTGGGTTTTTTTGGGGGGGTTTGAGCATTTTTTGGGGGTTTTGGGTTTTTGTTCGGGTTTTTTGGGGTTTTTTTTGGGTTTTGGATTTTTGGCGTTTTTGGGGGGGGGGAGTTTGGCTTTTTTGGGATTTTTGGGGGTTTGGGCATTTTTGGGGGGGGTTGGTTTATTTGGGTTTTTTGGGGGGGTTGGGTTTTATTTTGAGGGTTTTATGTTTTCTTGGGATTTTTTGGGGTTTTGAGTTTTTTGGGATTTTGGGGTTTTTTTTGGAGGTCTTGGGGATTTTTGGGGGGTAATTTCCTCCAGCTTGGTGGTGGCAGCACAAATCCCCCGGAATATTTTCTCTTCCCGAGGTCCTGCCGGCTCCAGGGAAATTTGGGGGGCACCCAAAGGTCGGGATGGAGCTTCCCAAAATCCCGAATTTTTGGGTTTTTAAAAATTTTTTTGGTGTCTCGCCTTTCCCAGCCTCTCCTCCTGCGTTTGTAATGAAAGAAAATAAAAATAAAAATAAAAATAAAAACAAAAATTTAAAAATAAAAATTTAAAATAAAAATAAAAATGTAAAATAAAAACAAAAATTTAAAATAAAAATAAAAATGTAAAATAAAAATAACAATTTTAAAATAAAAATAAAAATGATAATGAAAATAAAAATCAGATTTTGTCGCCTTCGGTCAGAAGGGTCCGGAGAATGTGGGAAGGGTCTGGGGGAAGGGAAAAAATTCCTGCAGGGAATTCAACAATTCCTGAGTGGAATTCAACAATTCCTGCCTGAAATTCAAAATTCCTGTGTGAAATTCAAAATTCCTGCCTGAAATTCAAAATTCCTGTGTGGAATTCAACAATTCCTGCGTGGAATGAAAACATTTTTCCATGGAATCCAACAATTTCTCCATGAAATTCAACAATTCCGACCGGGAGTCCAACAATTCCTGTGGGGAAATCGACAGTCCCGGCTGCTCCCGATGTTCCCGGTGCCCCCGGTGCTCCCGATGTTCCCGAGTTCCCGGTTCTCCCGGTACTCCCGGTGAGCCTGGTGCTGCCAAGGCTCCCGGTGTTCCTGAATTCCCGGTGCTCCCGGTGTTCCTGAGCTCCCGGTGCTCCCGGTTCTCCCGGTATTCCCGGTTCTTCTGAGCTCTCGGTGCTCCTGAGCTCCCGGTGCTGCCGGTGCTCCCGGTTCTCCCGGTGCTCCTGAGTTCCCGGTGCCCCCTAATTCCCGGTGTCCCCGAATTCCCGGTGCCCCCGAATTCCCAGTGCCCCCAAACTCCCGGTGCCCCCGAGCTCCTGGTTTATCCAGTGTTCCTGAGCTCCCGGTGCTCCCGGTGCTCCCGGTGCTCCAGAGTTCCCGGTGCCCCCGAGCTCCTGGTTTATCCAGTGTTCCTGAGCTCCCGGTGCTCCCGGTTCTTCAGAGCTCCCGGTGCTCCCAAGTTCCCGGTGCTCTTGAGCTCCCGGTTCTCCCGGTTCTCCCGGCTCTCCCAGTTCCCCCGGTTCTCCCGGTTCCCCCGGTGGTCTCAGGCGCGGGGCGGCGGCGCGGCGCGGTCCCGGTGGGAGCCGTCGCAGTACGGGGGGCTGCGGGTCCGTTTGCAGCCGCAGAGCAGCGCGGGCCCGGCCCGGGCGGGGCGGAAGCGCAGCGGGGACAGCCCCGGGGCCGCCGCCCGGTGGGAGCCGTCGCAGAAGGGCTGCGGCACAACCGGGACGGTCACGGGCGGCCCGGTGCTCCCCCGGGGCCACTGCCAGCATCCCAGAGATCCCATAAATCCCGTCCCGACCCATCCCATCCCATCCCATCCCATCCCATCCCATCCCATCCCATCCCATCCCATCCCATCCCATCCCATCCCATCCCATCCCATCCCATCCCATCCCATCCCATCAATCCCATCCCATCCCATCCCATCCCATCCCATCCCATCCCATCCCATCCCATCCCATCCCATCCCATCCCATCCCATCCCATCCCATCCCATCCCATCCCATCCCAAAGATCTGATAAATCCTGTCCCGTCACAATGATCCCATAAATCCCGTCCCATCCCATCCCATCCCATCCCATCCCATCCCATCCCATCCCATCCCATCCCATCCCATCCCATCCCATCCCATCCCATCCCATCCCATCCCTATCGCAATGATCCCATAAATCCTGTCCCGTCCCAGAGATCCCATAAATCCCATCCCATCCCGTCCCGTCCCATCCCATGCCAGAGATCCCATAAATCCTGTCCCATCCCACAAATCCTGTCCCATCCCATAAATCCCATCCCAGAGATCCCATAAATCCTGTCCCGTTCCATAGATCCCATCCCATCTCGTCCCATCCCATCAACCCCATAGATCCCATAAATCCTGTCCCATCCCATCCCATAAACCCTGTTCCGACCCAGAGATCCCATAAATCCTGTCCGATCCCATCCCATAGATCCCATCCCATCCCATGGATCCCATGGATCCCCCCGTTCTCCCAGATCCCCCCGGTTCTCCCGGAGCCCCCCGGTTCTCCCGGGTCCTCCCGGTTCTCCCACATCCTCCAGAGCCCCCCGGTTCTCTCGGATCCCTCCGGTTCTCCCGGACCCTCTCAGCTCTTCCAAACCCCCCCGTTCTCCCGGCACCCCCCCGGTTCTCCCGGTTCTCCCGGCCCCCCCCGGTTCTCCCCGTTCTCCCGGTTCTCCGGACCTGGTTCTTGCTGTGCCCGCAGGCGCACCAGCTGTAGGTTTTCCCCTCCTGCAGCTTCACCGGGAACGGCTCCGTGGCGGCGGTCACCGGCTGCGGCGGGGCCGCGGAGCAGAGCGACCGGAGCCGCGGCCCCGCCGAGGACTCCCGGTACCGGCGGCCGCGCCCCGCCGCCCTCAGCAGCGAAACGAGCGCGGCCGGTCTGCGCCACAGCATGGTCCCGGTGCCGGTCCCGGTGCCGCTCCCGGTGCCGCTCCCGGTTCCCCTCCCGGTTCCCCTCCCGGTGACCTTCCCGGCGCGGCTCCTCCTCCTCCTCCCCCGCCGCCGCCGGAAGATCCGCGCCGGGCGGGCTCGGCGGGAGCGCGGCTGCTCCGTGCGGGGCCGTTCCCCCGCGCTCCGGTCCCGGGGCTCCGGTCCCGGGGCTCGGTACCGCTGCCACCCCCGTCACCCGCTCCCGGTGCCGGTCCCGGTTTCCAGCACCGGTTCCAGTTCCCAGTGCCGGTCCCAGTTCCCAGCACCGGTCCCGCTTCCCCGTGCCGGTCCCGCTTCCCGGTGCCAGTTCCTGTTCCCAGTGCCGGTCCCGGTTCCCAATGCCGGTTCCTGTTCCCAGTGCCGGTTCCCAGTGCCGGTCCCGGTTCCCAGTGCCGGTTCCAGTTCCCAGTGCCAGTCCCGGTTCCCAGTGCCGGTCCTGGTTCCCAGTACCGGTCCCGGTTCCCAGTGCCGCTTCCCAGTGCTGGTCCCGGTTCCCAGTGCTGGTCCCGGTTCCCAATGCCGGTCCCGGTTCCCAGTGCCGCTTCCCAGTGCCGGCCCTGGTTCCCAGGACCAGTTCCGGTTCCCAGTACCGGTTCCAGTTCCCAATCCCAGTTCCCATTCCTGGTGTCCAATCCCAGTGCCACTCCCAGTTCCCCGATCCCAGTCCCAGTCCCCAATCCCAGTGCCCAGTCCCAGTTCCCATTCCCCTTCCCAATCCCAGTTCCCATTCCCAGTTCCCATTCCTATTCCCATTCCCATTCCCATTCCCAGTTCGCATTCCCATTCCCATTCCCATTCCCAGTTCCCATTCCCATTCCCATTCTCACTTAAATTCTCCCCCCTCACCTTCATTAAAAACCCCCCTCGCAATTAATATTAATATTAATATTATTTATTATAATAAAGACCGGTCAAGCAGCGTGAAAAAAATATATCTTAGCTACATCACCTTAAATTGCCAAAAATATACACATTTTTCTCTTTTGTTGAATATTTTAAAAAAAACCAAAAAACAAAAAATCCTAAAAACGAATAAAATAAAGGGAAAAAAACCCAAAAGGAGACATGCAATGATCCTAAAGGAGAGCATGGAAATGGGTAAAGAAAAACGTACCCCAGTGCAAGCGAAATGTGGATAAACTCCAGATTTTCCTTTTTTTTCCTTTTTTTCCTTCTCCTTCCCCCTGATCTCCCGATTTTTTGTTGGTTTTTTGTTGGTTTTTTTTTAATTTGTTGTTTTTTTGTTTGGGTTATTTGTTTGTTTTTTTCCCCACAGGAAAAACAAAATCCCCACCTGGAATTTCCCAGCTCCTGTTCCTGGCTCTGCCCAAGGGATTTTTGGGGAGATTCCCGGGGGGAATTGGAAAATTCCCGGGGTTTGGGAGCCTTTGGAAGGTCGGGCACAGGGGAAGGTGTAAGTGCTTTGTGTCCCTGATCCCCCAGTCCCGGAATTCCCGGGAGCAGGAGGGATCCGGCTCTGGGAATTCCGGGATCCAGCTCCGGGAATTGCCACAGATCCAGAGGGATCCAGCTCCGGGAATTCCCGAATCTAGCTCCGGGAATTCCCGGAAATCCAGAGGGATGCACTTCCAGAAATTTCTGGATCAAGCTCTGGGAATTCCTGCATCCACCTCCAGGAATTCCTGGATCCAGTTCCGGGAATTGCCAGAGATCCAGGGGGATCCAGATCCTGGAATTCCTGGATCCAGTTCTGGGAGTTGCCAGAGATCCAGGGGGATCCAGCTCCTGGAATTCCTGGATCCAGTTCCGGGAATTGCCAGAGATCCAGGGGGATCCAGATCCTGGAATTCCTGGATCTATCTCCAGGAATTGCCAGACCCAGCTCCGGGAATTCCCAGACAATCACAGGGATCCAACTCCGGGAATTCCTGGATCCAGCTCCGGGAATTCCTGGATCCGGCTCCCTTTGGTGTCCTGGCCTTGTCCAGGGGATTTGGGCACTGGCCCCAAACCGGCGCCGATCCCGAAGGGATTTGGGGTCTCCCAGGGGATCAATTCCCTTCCCAGCCCTTCCGGATCCCCTGGGCTGGATTGGGGAAGAATTGGGAGATTTGGGCACAAATTTGGGGTTTTTGGGGTTGCAAATGGGGCTGGAGGCCACGGGCAGCACTGCTGGGATTTGGGATCCCGGAGCACCGCAGGGATTTGGGATCCTGGGGCACCACAGGAATTTGGGATTTTCCAGGGGGATTTTGGGTGGCACCTCCAGGGATGCCGAGGGAAGGGGAACGACCCAGTTCGGGATGGGGGAAAAAGAGAAAAATCCAAAGGAATTTCAAAGTGCAAGAAGGGAATTGTGCTGGAGCGGGTTTGGGGACGGGGATCCCAAAGGATTTGGGCTCCCCCAACAGCTTCCTAAGCTCGTTAAAACCTCGGGATAGATAAATCCCATTATATATTTAATTTATATTTCTATTTCCAGCAGCCAGTGGCTCTGCCCAGTTCAGAGCTCCAGGCTGGCAGCAGAAAAGGTTTGGTATATATTTTTTTTTCTCTTTTTTTTTTTTTTAGACAACCCTCACGGTGTGAACCTTAGGGGGAAAAAAACCCCAATAAAATAAAATAAAATAAAATAAAATAAAATAAAATAAAATAAAATAAAATAAAATAAAATAAAATAAAATAAAATAAAATAAAATAAAATAAAATAAAATAAAATAGAATAAGCATTTTAAAAAAGGAAATTCAGTGGAGGATTCTGCCAGCACGATCAGCGCAGCCCCGCTGCTGATAACGGGAATAGTGCAAAGCGGGAAGGGCAGTGGGGATGCGCTGAACGCGGCACAAAAGTCCCAAATTTTGGGATTTGGGGCTCTCCCAAAGGAGTTTCCGTCAGCTGGAGCATTCCAGGAGCTCCGGATTTACCCAGGGATGAGGGAAGGAAGGGAATTGGGGCATTTGGTGGTGGTCGCCTTCCCCGAATTGCCCTGACTGTCCTTCCTTCCTTCCTTCCTTGATCTCTATCCATGGATCCATCCATGCCTCCATCCATCCATCCGTCATCCATCCATCCATCCATCCATCCATCCATCATCCATCATCCATGGATTCAATCCATCATCCATCCATCCATGGATTCCATCCATCCATCCATCCATCCATCATCCATCCATCCATCCATCATCCATCATCCATCCATGGATTCCATCCATCCATCCATCATCCATCCATGGATTCCATCCATCATCCATCATCCATCCATCCATCCATCCATCATCCATCCATCCATCCATCCATCCATCCATCATCCATCATCCATCCATCCATCCATCATCCATCCATCCATCCATCCATCCATCATCCATCCATCCATCCATCCATCCATCCATCCATCCATCCATCATCCATCCATCCATCATCCATCCATGGATTCCATCCATCATCCATCCATCATCCATCCATCATCCATCCATCCATCCATCCATCCATCCATCCATCCATCCATCATCCATCCATCATCCATCCATGGATTCCATCCATCATCCATCCATCCATGGATCCCATCTACCCATCCCAGCTCAGAAGAAGTCAATTCCCGGTGGATTTTCCCGGCTGAAGATGGAACCACGGTCGGAAGGTGGAGAACCATGGAAGTTCTGCCATCCCAGGCTCAGGACGGTGCTCGCTGTCCCATTCCTTGGAGATGGCTCCTCCCAGCGCCACCAGAAGAAGGAATTCTGTGGGAATGGTTTCTGGCGGGCGGGAAAACACCGATTTGGCATTTGGGATTTGGGATTCTCCTCCCCACTACAATTTCCATCTCCAAACTCTGGTCCAGGAATCCTCGTCCAGGTCCAGGAGCTCCTTCTGATGTTGGACAACCCCGGCTTGGATCCTTCTCGTGCTGAGACCTTTGGGAATTCCAGGCGGGAAGGACAACCCCACCCCTCCAGCAGCTGGCACAGGTGACAATATCCTCGCAGCTGGCACAGGTGACAATGTCCTCCCGGGTGGTGCCACCTCCTGCCCACCTCTGTCCATCCCCATCCGCCTGTCCTTCCATCCTTGGGCACCTCCAGGTGCCACCACGTCCTTTCTCCAGCAGTGCCACATCCAGAGTGACATCCCGGGACACCTCCAGGTGCCACGACGTCCTTTCCAAGTGCTGCCACATCCTTGGACACCTCCAGGTGCCACCATGTCCTCCCTGGGCAGTGCCACATCCAGGGTCACATCCTTGGATACCTCCAGGTGCCACCACGTCCTTTCCAAGTGCTGCCACATCCTTGGACACCTCCAGGTGCCACCATGTCCTCCCTGGGCAGTGCCACATCCAGGGTCACATCCTTGGATACCTCCAGGTGCCACCACGTCCTTTCCAAGTGCTGCTACATCCAGGGTCACATCCAGGGACACTGCCAGGTGCCACCACGTCCCTTCTCCAGCAGCGCCACATCCAGTGCTGGCTCTTGGCACACCTCCAGGTGCCATCACGTCCCTTCTCCAGCAGTGCCACATCCAGGGTCATGTCCTTGGTCACCTCCAGGTGCCACCACGTCCTTTCTCCAGCAGTGCCACATCTGGTGCTGGCTCTTGGGACACCTCCAGGTGCCACCACGTCCTCTCTGGGCAGTGCCACATCCAGGGTCACATTGTGGGACACCTCCAGGTGCCACCACATCCCTCCCCAAGGATCTGGGGGGTCTTGGGGCTCCCCAGGCTCCCGGCAGGATCCGCTGGGGCTCCATGGGGCAGGTGGAGCAGGGCACAGGTGACAGGTGACCCCAGCAGGTTCCTGGTGCCCCAGCGGGTTCCTGGTGGCCCAGCGTGGCTCTTGGTGGCTCCAGTGGGTTCCTGGTGGCCCCAGTGGGTTCCTGGTGGCCCCAGTGGGTTCCTGGTGGCTCCAGCGGGTTCCTGGTGGCCCCAGCGGGTTCCTGGTGGCCCAGCGGGGCTCCTGGTGGCCCCGGGCTCCTCAGGGCCGCTCCTCGGGAGGGGTCGGCTGCGGGCGTGGCGCCGGGGGCTCCTAGCCCTTGTCCTGTGCCAGCGGAGCGCCCTTGTCACCCAGCGGCTGCGGGGACAAACGGGGACACGGCCGCGTCAGAGGGGACACGGAGGGAGTGGGGGATTGGGGACAGGGACTGGGGACAGGGACTGGGGACAGGGACTGGGGGAGGCTGGAATGGGGGGACGGGAATCAGGGCAGGGGGACAGGGATTAAGGGACAGGGACTGGGGAGGAAGGAACTGTGTCCTTCCCCAGCTGTCCTTACACTGTCCCTGGGGCTGTCCCCGGGCTGTCCCCACCTTGTCCCCAGGTCTCTCCTCAGGGCTATCCCCACACTGTCCCCAGACTACCTCCAGGGCTGTCCCCAAGCTGTCCCCAAGCTGTCCCTGGAGCTGTCCCCGTGCTGTCTCCCTCCTGTCCTCAGACTATCCCCAAGCTGTCTGCACGCTGTCCCCCACTGTCCCCACACTATTCCCAGGTCTCTCCTCAGGGCTGTCCCCACCCTGTCCCCTCACTCTCCCCTCTCTGTCCCCACGCTCTCCCTGGGGCTGTCCCCCCTCTGTCCCCACTCTGTCCCCTCACTCTCCCATCACTGTCCCCACACTGTCCCTGGGGCTGTCCCCCCTGTCCCCACACTGTCCCTGGTGCTGTCCCCACTCTGTCCCCACACTGTCCCTGGGGCTGTCCCCACTCTGTCCCCACACTGTCCCTGGGGCTGTCCCCACTCTGTCCCCACACTATCCCTGGGGCTGTCCCCCCTGTCCCCACACTGTCCCTGGGGCTGTCCCCCCTGTCCTCACTCTGTCCCCACACTGTCCCTGGGGCTGTCCCCACGCTGTCCCCCCTGTCCCCACGCTGTCCCCCCTGTCCCCACACTGTCCCTGGTGCTGTCCCCACTCTGTCCCCACACTGTCCCTGGGGCTGTCCCCACTCTGTCCCCACACTATCCCTGGGGCTGTCCTCACTCTGTCCCCACGCTGTCCCCACACTGTCCCTGGGGCTGTCCCCACCCTGTCTCCACACTGTCCCTGGTGCTGCCCTCACTCTGTCCCCACACTGTCCCTGGGGCTGTCCCCCCGTCCCCACACTGTCCCTGGGACTGTCCCCACACTGTCCCTGGTGCTGCCCTCACTCTGTCCCCACACTGTCCCTGGGGCTGTCCCCCCGTCCCCACACTGTCCCTGGGACTGTCCCCACACTGTCCCTGGTGCTGCCCTCACTCTGTCCCCACACTGTCCCTGGGGCTGTCCCCACCCTGTCCCCGCTCTGTCCCCGGTACCCACCGCTCCTTTGGGGGCGCCGCCGTCGGGCTGCAGGCTCAGGAAGGGGTTGGGGGCCATGGGTGGCCCCGAGGCCAGCGGGGGGGTGGCCTGGGGGGCCAGCAGGGCCCCGCCGGGGTTGAGCTGCTGCGGGGACAGCGAGGCCAGCAGGGAGCCCCCGCTGGGTGCCACCGAGGTCAGCAGGGCACCGGGGCTGGCGTGCAGCGGGGCAGAGGTGGCGGCCAGCAGCGACAGCGGCGACGAGCCCGAAATCTGCAGCCGCTGCAGCTCCCGCTTCTGCTGGATCTGCTGCATCATCTGGAACACCAGAGCCTGCTGCTCCTGCGGGGACCGGGACACGCTCAGAGCGGGGACAGAGGGGGGACAGAGACAGGAGAGAGAGGGGACAGCGAGGGGACAGTGAGGGGACAGAGACAGGAGAGAGAGGGGACAGAGGGGTGACAGAGAGGTGACAGAGAGGGGAGAGAGAGGGGAGAGAGAGGGGAGAGTGAGGGGACAGTGAGGGGACAGGGAGGGACAGGGAGGGACAGGGAGGGGACAGAGACAGGAGAGAGAGGGGACAGGGAGGGGACAGAGTGGGGAGAGTGAGGGGACAGGGAGGGGACAGAGAGGGGACAGAGATGGGAGAGGGAGGGGAGAGTGAGGGGACACAGCAGGGAAAGAGTGGGGACCTCTGAAAATCCGGGAAAAAATCACCCTGAAACCCGTGCAAACCTCTCTGAAATCCAGAAAAACCTCTGGGATCCATCAGGATTTCCATCTCAGGATCCATCAGGATTTCTATCCTGGGATCCATCAGGATTTCCATCTCAGGATCCACAGGATTTCCATCTCAGGATCCACAGGATTTCTGTCCTAGGATCCATCAGGATTTCTATCCTGGGATCCATCAGGATTTCCATCTCAGGATCCATCAGGATTTCCATCCTCGGATCCACCAGGATTTGGATCCCAGGATGATTCCAGGAGGGAACGGCTTTCCCGATTTCCCCCTCCTGATTTCCCCGAGCTCCCGTCTTCTCAGCCCCTCAGGATGTGGCAAACTCCAATTAAACTCCAATAAAACTCCGATTAAACTCCAATTAAACTCCGACTAAACTCCAATTAAACTCCAATTAAACTCCAACTAAATTCCGACTAAATTCCGACTAAACTCCAACTAAATTCCAATTAAACCCCAATTAAACTCCGACTAAACTCCAATTAAACTCTGACTAAATTCCAACTAAATTCTGACTAAATTCCCATTAAACTCCGACTAAACTCCGACTAAACTCCAATTAAAATCTTAAACTCCGATTAAACTCGATTAAACTCCGACTAAATTCCAACTAAACTCCGATTAAACTCCAATTAAACTCTGACTAAACTCCGACTAAACTCTGATTAAACTCCAACTAAACTCCAACTAAACTCCAACTAAACTCCAACTAAACTCCAACTAAACTCCAATTAAACTCCGACTAAACTCCAATTAAACTCCAATTAAACCCCAATTAATCATCTTTCCTTTGCTACAAAACGAACCCAAATCCCACCTCTCCCACCCCCCTGCCCCCAGCTTCTCTCCCCATCCCAAATTCCCAAACCACCTCCGAATTCCCGCGGAGGGCTCAGCCCGGAAAACCTCCGAGGATTCAGGAGCGGGAGGAAACCTCCGCTTTTCATCCCTTTTTCTCCTCTCCCACCCGTTTTTTCCCACCTTCCCGCCCGTCCCTCACCGGGTTAAGCGGCTGCGAGGTCAGGAGCTGCTGCAGCTGCTGCAGCTGCTGCTCGTGCTGCTGCAGGACCTGCCGCTGCTGCTCCGTCAGGGGGCTCAGGCTGCAGGAAAACAGAGAAAAACTGCAAATAAAATTATTTCCTTCCATGCCCAGCAGCGTCCCGAGCACGGGAGAAACGCAGGAATATATTTGGGAGAAGCAGGAGTTGGGAAATGCCCGGCTCGAGCTCTGCAGCTTGGTGAAAAATGTGTATTTTACCACCGAAAATTAAATTTAATACTGTGTTTATGCTGTATTTTGTAATGCTCTGTTAATCCTTTTTAAGCAGTGCGGTAAATATGGTTTTAGGTTATAACACAGTGTTAAAATAGCAACTTTGCCATTTTATTTTGTAAGATATTTTTGTGAGATATAAAAATGCATACATCATTTTTGTACGGTGTTTTTTTTGCTAGCTCAAGAAAGGGGGATGAGGTAATAAAGAAACTCTTCACATAGAGATAACAGCAATAAAATGAAATAAAATGAAATGAAATGAAATGAAATGAAATGAAATGAAATGAAATAAAATAAAATAAAATAAAATAAAATAAAATAAAATAAAATAAAATAAAATAAAATAAAATAAAATAAAATAAAATAAAATAAAATAAAATAAAATAAAATAAAATAAAATAAAATAAAATAAAAGATTTACAACCTCCTTATCAGAAAATACAAATTTCCTTCCACCTTCTCTCCTATGGAACCACCAGGATTAAGGGGAAGGAGTTGACAAAAACCAGAAAAATTCTGGATTTGCAAGGAATTTATGCATCATGTATGAGATACATGAATATGCAACAGGCTGTTGGTTGCTTTTAAGCAAAACCTTAAAACCTTTGGTGGTTTTGGCACCTCAGCGCCCAAAATCACCCAGACACACAAAATTCTTTGCTTTTTATTGTCTCATGGTGGCCTGATCCTCATTGTCCACATTTTTATCGCTCTGATTTTATTCCTATTTTTTTATAATTATTTTATTACTAACAAATATTCAAAGTTTAAAAAAAACCAAGCTATTGGTGTTTTTGCACAAAATCTCTCTGCAGGTAAATTCATCAGGGACAACTCCACAGTTTCTCAGGGACAAGGGGTCGAATTTAGCAGCTGCTAAAATCCCTCTGTGGATAAAATTCCTAAAATTCCCTGCGGATTCAAGGCCTGGGAACAACTGGGAGGAATAAACCGGGGTCCCACATATTTGGGGACAGAGAGTTTTTATCCATCACAGCTGGATATAGATCGATATCCATATTTTTTAAATAAATCACTGGAACCGACTGGGGGCTGGTCTGTGCCTCCCTGCCCGGGGCTGAGCTGAGGCTGGGGAGGGGCAGGATCGCACTGTCCCTCCCTCACCTGAGGCTGGGGAAGGGCAAGATCGCTCCGGTCCTTCCTCCCTGAGCTGAAATTTGGCTGGAGAGGGGCAGAACCGCTCTGTCCCTCCCTCCCTGAGCTCACCTGAGGCTGGGGAGGGGTAGGACCGCTCTGCCCTCCCTCACCTGAGGATGGGGAGGGGCAGGATCGATCCATCCCTCCCTCACCTGAGGCTGGGGAAGGGCAGGACCGCTCCGGCCCTTCCTCCCTGAGCTGAAATTTGGCTGGAGAGGGGCAGAACCGCTCGGTCCCTCCCTCCCTGAGCTCACCTGAGGATGGGGAGGGGCAGGACCGCTCCATCCCTCCCTCCTGGAGCTGAACTGATGCTGGGGAGGGGCAGGGCTGCTCTGTCCTCCCTCACCTGATGCTGCAGAGTTGCAGAACCGTTCCGTGCCTCCCTCCCCTCCCTCACCTGATGCTGGGGAGGGGCAGGACCGCTCCATCCCTCCCTCCCCGAGCTGAAATTTGGCTGCAGACTTGCAGGACCGCTCCGTCCCTCCCCGGGATTGAATTGATGCTGCAGACTTGCAGGACCGCTCCGTCCCTCCCTCCCCTCCCTCACCTGATGCTGCAGACCTGCAGGACAGTTCCGTCCCTCCCTCACCTGAGGATGGGGAGGGGCAGAACCACTCCAGCCCTTCCTCCCCGAGCTAAAATTTGGCTGGGGAGGGGCAGAACCGCTCTGTCCCTCCCTCCCTGAGGATGGGGAAGGGCAGAACCGCTCCGTCCCTCCCTCACCTGAGGATGGGGAAGGGCAGAACCGCTCTGTTCCTCTCTCACCTGAGGATGGGGAGGGGCAGGACCGTTCCATCCCTCCCTCCCCGAGCTGAAATTTGGCTGGGGAGGGGCAGAACCGCTCTGTCCCTCCCTCACCTGAGGCTGGAGAGGGGCAGGATCGCTCCGTCCCTCCCTCCCCGGGGTTGATGCTGCAGACCTGCAGGACCGCTCCGTCCCTCCCTCACCTGAGGCTGGGGAGGGGCAGGACCGCTCCGTGGCTCCCTCCCCTCCCTCCCCCGAGGCCGCAGAGCTGCAGGACCTCTCGGTGCTCACCTGCTCAGGCTCCCGGGGAGCTGCAGCGCCGGGGCCCCGCCGGGCTGCGGGGGAGGCTGGGCGGGCTGCGCCCCGTTCAGGCTGCCCAGGATCCCGTTCAGGGGCATCTGCTGCGCCCCGGCCAAGCTGCCCAGCAAGCCGTCCACCACGGTGGGCACCGCCGAGAGGCCGTGGCTGGCCCCCGAGGCTCCTGCGAGCCCCCCGCTCGCCACCCTGGCCAGGCCGTTCACCGGCGGCGCCCCGGGCAGGGGCAGCGCGGCGGGGCTGGGCTGCAGCAGGGGCAGGGGCGGCGGGGTGCTGTGGAAGGACAGCGAGGAGCTGCTCCTGCTGGGACAGCCCGAGGGAGGCTCCTGGGGGACAGACGGACACCGGGAACCGGGCTGGGGTGGAGGGCGGCTCGGGCTGGGAAAAGGAGGGGCTCGGGGTGGTTCGGGGGGGCTCGGGGTGGCTCTGGTGGCTCAGGGTGGCTGGGGTTGGCTCGGGGTGGCTTGGGGTGGTTTGGGGTGGTTTGGGTGGCTTGGGAGGCTCAGGGTGGGAAAAGGACGGACTTGGGGTGGTTTGGGGGGCTCGGGGTGGCTCAGGTGGCTCAGATTGGCTGGGGGTGGTTTGGGTTGGGAAAAGGAGGGACTCAGGGTGGCTCGGGGGGGCTCGGGGTGGTTTGGGTGGTTTGGGAGGCTCAGGGTGGGAAAAGGAGGGACTTGGGGTGGTTTGGGGGGCTCAGGGTGGCTTGGGGTAGCCCAGGGTGGCTCGGGTCAGCTTGGGGTGGGAAAAGGAGGGACTCAGGGTGGCTCAGGGTGGCTTGGGAGGCTCGGGGTGGCCTGGGGTGGTTTGGGTTGGCTCGGGGTGTCTCAAATCCGAGGGGTCCCCAAACTCAGAGTGGGGTCCCAGAGCGCTCGGGATCCCCTGGGAGCGCTCCGGCTCTCAGCTGCAGGGAGCAGCTGATCTCTGAGCCTGGGCTAGCGGGTTTGGCTGGCTGGCTACCGAGCCCGGGGGTTGGCTACCGAGCCCTGCCGGTGGCCACGGGGGCGGCGGTACCTCGGAGGAGGTGGAGAGCGAGTTCTCGATGCCGAAGCTGTTCTTGCACGGGGGGCTCTTGCTGGCGCTCAGCGAGTCAGCGGCGCACACTGGGAGGGGGCGCAGAGTCAGGGATGGACCCGGAGGTGGCCACGGGGCAGATTCATCCCCTGGGACAGCCCTGGCCAGTGCCGGGGCACGGGGACACGTCCTGGGTGCCCTCAGCCCGGTGCCCGGTGCCCTCACCGTTGGCGGGCAGGATGTACTGGGCCTGGCCGCCGGGGCCGTTGCTGCCAGTGGTGACCACAGGGAAGGGCACCGAGAGCTGGACGTTGAGCAGCTGCAGCCGCTCCTTCTTGGCCGTCAGCGTCATGATCTGCTCCTGCAGCCGCTGGTTCTCCTTCTGCAGCGAGTGCAGCGCCTTCAGCATCTCCACAACTGAAATGGGGGAAAAAGAGAAAAAAAAGGGGATCAGAGGATTCACGATCAAACCCCAGAGCAGGAGGGACCGGCCCCGCAGCGCTGCCCCAGCTCCAACCCTCGGCACACACCGGGGCTTTGTCTCTGCTCCGCTCTGCTGCCCGCGGGCAGGATCCCAAAAATTCCAGCTGGCTCCCAAACCCTCCAGAGCCCCGGGAGCTGCCTCAAGAGCCCTGGGAGCCGCCCCGGGCTTGCCCCTCGCCCCCCGGCCGCACTCACTGTTGACGCCGGCCTCGCCGTTGCCCTGCTTCTCCAGGAGCTGCTCGATGTTGGGGGTGGCCTGCGGGACATTGTCCAGCTGCCCGCTGCTGCTGCACGACACGGTCTGGTCGAAGAGGGTCGGCAGGCTGCTGATGGGGGACCTGGGGGGGCCGGGGGCGTCAGGGCACCCTGCTCCGTCCCTGCTCTATTTCTGCTCCATTCCCGATCCGTCCCTGATCCATTCTCTGTTCCATTCCTGCTCCCTGTTCCATCCCTGCTCCGTCCCTGCTCTATTTCCGATCCAATCCTGATCCATCCCTGCTCCATTCCCGATCCATCCCTGCTCCATCCCTGCTCCGTCCCTGCTCTATTCCTGCTCCATTCCAAATCCATTCCGGATCCATCCCTGCTCCGTCCCTGCTCTATTTCTGCTCCATTCCTGATCCATTCCTGATCCATCCTCTGTTCCATTCCCTCTCCATTTCTGCTCCATTCCTGTTCCATCCTGTCTCCATTCCCGATCCATTCCTGCTCCATTCTGTGTTCCATTCCCTCTCCATCCCTGCTCCAGTCCAGCTCAGCTCCTGCTCCATCCTCTGTTCCATTCCCTCTCCATTCCCTGCTCCCTGCTCCATCCCTGGCTCAATTCCCATTCCATTCCTGCTCCTTTCCTGATCCATTCCTGGCTCCATCCCCATTCCATTCTCTGTTCCATCCCTGTTCCATTCCTTCTCCATCCCTGCTCCCCGTTCCATCCCTGCTCCATCCCTGCCCCATTCCTGCTCCATTCCCACTCCATCCCTGCTCCATCCCTGTTCCCAGGGCTCTGTGCTGCACTTCAGGTGAGCCCCAGGTGAGCCCCGTGCTTGTGCTCAGCCCTGGCTGGGGCCGGGAAAGCAAATCCCAGTCCTCCCATCCCATCAATCCCATGCCATCCCATGCCATCCCATGCCATCCCATCCCATCCCATCCCATGCCATCCCATGCCATGCCATCCCATCCCATCCCATCCCGTCCCCAAGGAGCGGGACAGGAGCTGTCTCCGTGTCCCCCCGCTGTCCCCGCTGTCCCCCCGGTGTCACTCACATGGAGGACAGGCTCTCCTGCGGGGACGTCCCTCGGCAGCCGAAGCCGCAATCCTCCAGGTCGGGCTCTGCGCGGGGACAGGGACAGAGGGCACGGGGTCAGCGGTGCCCAGTGAGAGCCCGGTGTGTGCCCGGTGAGTGCCCGGTGAGAGCCCGGTGAGTGCCCGGTGTGTGCCCGGTGTGTGCCCGGTGTGTGCCCGGTCAGTGTTCGGTCAGTGCCCGGTCAGTGCCCGGTGTTTTCCCGGTCAGTGCCTGCCGGGGGGGCACCGGGCAGTTCCGAGCGTCACCGGCACCAAGCGGTACCGGGGAGCACCGAGAAGCACCGAGTGGAACCAGAACCGAGCGGTACCGGGGAGAACCGAGCGGTACCGGGGTGCAGCGAACCGCACCAGTACCGAACCTCACCGAACAACACCGAGCAGCACCGAACGGAACCAGGCAGCACCGAATGGAACCGGGCAGCACCGAATCAGAACCGGGCAGCACCGAATGGGACCAGGCAGCACCGAATGGAACTGGGCAGCACCGAATCGGACCGAGCAGCACCGACCCCGAGCACGGCGCAAGGCGGCCCTGAGGTGCTGCTGGCAGACACGCCGTCGCTGTCCCCCCGTGGCAGCCCCCGGCTGTCACCCCAAGGGAGAGCGGCTGGAAAAGCCGGGAATGCAGCGGTGCCCTCCTGTCCTGGCAGGAGAGCCCTCGGGAATGCCAACTCGGACATACCTGGGAATTCACGTACCTGCCCGGCTGCTCTCCGGCTGGCTCAGGAGGGGGTTCAGGGACAGCCCGGATGTCAGCGGGCTCCCAAAAATGTGCGAGGAAGGGAGGCTGAAGGTGGAACCGGCCAGGGAAAACACCTGCACGGGAAAGAGGGAAATATCCCAGTAATCGCAGCTGTTCCCATGTTAAAAATATCTCCTGGAGTCTGGCGAGAGGCTTGGCACGTTCCCAGCGCTGGCTGGGAGCCGGGAGCTCTGGGAATGGTGTGGATGCAATCGCTCTTCCTGGTGGGAGTGTTCCCTGCCCCGAGTGTCCCCATTCCCGAGTGTCCCCAATCCCAACTGTTCCCATTCCTGGCTATCCCCATTCCGACATCCCCAGTCCCAAGTGTCCCCACTCCCACTGTCCCCAATCCCAATTATTTCCATTCCTGAGTGTCGCCAGTCCCAACTATTCCCAATCCTGAGTGTCCCCGATCCCAACTATTCCCAATCCCGATTGTTCCAAATCCCGACTGTCCCCATTCCCAACTGTCCCCAAACCCGACTGTCCCCAGTCCCAACTATTCTCAATCCTGACAGTCCCCAGTCCCGATTGTCCCCAATCCCAACTCTCCCCATTCCCAACTGTCCCCAGTCCCAGCTATTCCCGTTCCTGAGCGTCTCCAATCCCAATTATTCCCATTCCCAACTGTCCCCAATGCAAACTATTCCCAATCCTGATTTTTCCAAATCCTGGCTGTCCCCAGTCCTGACTGTCCCCAAGCCCAACAGTCCCCAATCCCAATCATACCCATTCCCGAGTGTCCCCAGTCCCAATTATTCCCAATTCCACTGTCCCCAGGCCAAACTATCCCCACTACCACGTGTCCCCAACCCCATGTGTTCCCACTCCCCCGCATTTCCCCACTCCTGCTGTCCCCATTCCTGAGTGTCCCCAACCCCACATGTCCCCACTCCCACGTGTCCCCAACCCCACATGTCCCCACTCCCACGTGTCCCCAACCCCACATGTCCCCACTCCCACGTGTCCCCAACCCCACATGTCCCCACTCCCACATGTCCCCAACCCCACATGTCCCCATTCCTGCTGTCCCCACTCCCACATGTCCCCAATCCCACGTGTCCCCACTCCCGCTCTCCTCACCTGGGTGGTGGAGCCGGCGGAGGAGGAGGAGGCCGGGGGGATGGAGCTGGCGAAGGGCGAGCGGCTGAGCTGGGGCAGGGCAGCACCGCCCTGGTGCGGGAGCAGCCCCGAGGGCAGCGGGGTGCTGCAGACCGCCCGCAGCGCCGCGCCCAGCGGGATCGGGTCCTTGTTGCTGGTGTAGATCCCTGCGGGACAGGGAAAGATTCCTTCTGATGGCAAATATCCCCAGGGAGAGATTCCTTCTGATGGCAAATATCCCCAGGGAGAGATTCCTTCTGATGGCAAATATCCCCAGGGAGAGATTCCTTCTGATCCCATTAATCCCCAGGGAGAGGTTCCTTCTGATCCCAAATATCCCCAGGGAGAGATTCCTTCTGATCCCATTAATCCCCAGGGAGAGATTCCTTCTGATGGCAAATATCCCCAGAGAGAGATTCCTTCTGATCCCATTAATCCCCAGGGAGAGATTCCTTCTGATCCCATTAATCCCCAGGGAGAGATTCCTTCTGATCCCATTAATCCCCAGGGAGAGATTCCTTCTGATCCCAAATAGCCCCAGAGAGAGATTCCAAATCATCCTGCTAATCCCTAGAAAGATATTCCAATTTGTCCTATTAATCCCCAGAGAGAGATTCCAATTTATCCCATTAATCCCCAGGGAGAGGAGATTCCTTCTTTTGGGATTAGGAACACTCAGGAATGGGAACACTCGGGGATGAGAACACTTGGGAATGGGAACACTTGGGAATGGCAACACTCCGGACAGGGAACACTCCATACAGGGAACAGCTGGGAATGATTTGGGATGTTCCCAGCTCAGATCCGCACTCCAAATTTCAGCTTTTGGGAAGCTGATCAGGGGGAAATTCCAGGGTGATAGAACTGGATGCCTGGATCTGGACATGGCTAAATGTGCTGGAAAAGGCCAGAAAATTCTGGAAAACTCTGGGAAATTCGGGAAAATTCTGGAAAAGACACCTGAGCACACCCAAATCCCTCAAGGAGAAACCCACCCGAACCCAGCAGCGGCGACTCCATGCTGAGGCTGGGCAGACTCCCGGTGTGGCCGAAGCTCCGGGATGAATTCCCAACGCTGGAGCTGACCAGGGATCCCCCGGAGAAAGGCGAGGAGGAGGTGGAGGTGGACCCAGCCAGCTGAGCCCCCAAAACCTCTTTGCCTTTACCCGCCTTGGGCCTGCCGGGGCCGTGCTTGTTCTTCTTGCTGCCCTTGTGCTTCTTCTCCTTGAGCACCTCGCCCTCCTCGGCGCCCGTCCGCTTGTGCCCGCTGCCGGTGGCGCCGGTGGCACCAACCGAGGGGCCACCGAGAGCGGCGGCGGAGGAGGATTTGTAGTCCACGGGGGAGGCGTCGCGGGCTCGCGGCGGGCCCACGGCCGAGGTGGAGAAGCGCATGATGGAGCCGAAGCCGGAGAAGATGACCTTCTGCTCGAAGACGTCAGCCTTGGGGCCCTCGGAGAGCGGCGAGCAGTGCGAGGACGAGCTGGAGCTGGCGGCTTTGCGGAATTTCTCGTCCTCCTGCTCCAGCTTGGGGAAAGGCGCGAAGTCCTGGGAGCCGGGCAGGCCGCAGGAGGAGCCTGGGTACACGCGGGGTCAGCGGGAGGGGCAGGGAGGGGGCCCGGTGCTTCATCGCTCTCCTCTTCCTCCTCCTCCCCCTTCATTGCTCTGTTTTCTCCTTCATCCCTTTCCTCCTCCTCCTTCATCGCTTTTCTTTTCTCCTTCATCCTCCTCCTTCAGGGCTCTGCTTTGCTACTTCATCACCCTTCTCTTCCTCCTTCCTAATCCTTCTCCTCTTCCCTGTCCTTCATTGCTCTGCTCTTCCTCCTCCTCCACCCTTCTCCTTCTCCCCTTCATCCTTCTTTTTTCTCCTCCTTCATCCCTCTCTTCCTCCTCCTCCTTCATTGCTCTCCTCTTCCCTGTGCTTCATCTCTCTCCTCTTCCTCCTCCCTCCTCCTTCCCCTCTTCCTCCTCCTTCATTGCTCTGCTCTTTCTTTCTCCTCCTCCTCTTCCTCTCCTCTTCCTCCTCCTTCATCCCTCTCCTTTTGTCCTTCATCCCTCCCCTCTTCATCCCTCTCCTCTTCCTCCTCCTCCATCCCCCTCCTTCCTCCATCCCTCCCCTCTCCCTCCTCCTCCTCCATCCCTCCCCTTTTCTCCTTCATCCTTCTCCTCCTCCTCCTCCTCCATCCCCCTCCTTCCTCCCTCTCCCTCTCCCTCCTCCTCCTCCTGCCCCTCACCTGCCGCCTGGAAGTTCCCTCCGGCCGCGGCCGCTCCGAAGCCTCCGGAGCTTTTCCCGCTTCCCGTCTTCTTCCCCTTGTGGCTGCTGCCGTGGCTGGAGGATTTCCGGCCCTTGGCCTCCGCCCTGGCCACCTCCGAGCCCTCCTTGGTGGCCTCGTGGTGGCCACCGGAGCCCTGGCAGGGGACAGGCAGGGGTGACCCCAGGGACCGCGGCTGCCGGCAGCCAGGGAGCGTTTTTCCCCATTTTCCCCATTATTTTCCCCATTTTCCCCATTTTCCCCTCTCTGGAGCGGGAATTTCCTCATCCTCAGGATGGGAGTGGAGATTCCCTGGGGAAATTTCCAGGAAATTTCCTCACCCTTGGGATGGGATCAGAGATTCCCTGGGGGAATTTTTGGGAAATTTCCTTATTCTTGGGATGGGATAAGAGATTCCCTGTGGGAATTTCCTTATCCTCGGGATGGGATTGGAGATTCCTCATGGGAATTTCCCTGTGGGAGTTTCCTCATCCTTGGGATGGGATCAGAGGTTCCCCATGGGAATTTCCTCATCCTCAGGATGGGATTGGAGATTCCCCATGGGAATTTCCTCATCATCGGGATGGGATTGGAGATTCCTCATGGGAATTTCCCTGTGGGAGTTTCCTCATCCTTGGGATGGGATCAGAGGTTCCCCATGGGAGTTTCCTCATCCTCAGGATGGGATCAGCGGTTCCCCGTGGGAATTTCCAGGAAATTTCCTCATCCTCGGGATGAGATCGGAGATTCCTCATGGGAATTTCCTCATCCTTGGGATGGGATCAGAGGTCCCCCATGGGAATTTCCAGGGAATTTCCTCATCCTTGGGATGGGACCAGAGATTGCCTTGGATCCCTGCATCCATCCCAAAGCTCCGGCTGGGAATATTCCCAGGGATTGGAGCAGATGTTCCCAAATTCCAGCTGAGCTGCAGGAGCCAGGGGAGACAGGAGGGTGAAAATGCCAGGAAATCCAAAATTTTGGGATGAGAGGGAGAACTGTGGGAATTCAGCCGGGAGGGACAGAGGGATGAACCCAAAGCCAGATCCCTCAAATCCCAAATCCCTTCAAATCCCAAATCCCTTCAAATCCAGAGCTCCAAAACCACCCTGCAACCAAAATTAAAAACTATTCCCATAATTATGGGATGGCCCAAAATGTGGGACTTTCCTGACATCCCTCCAAACCCTCCTTGGGATAAATCCCGGGATCCAAATCCATCCCTGGATTTAATCCCCCGACAGCTGCAGGCGCCAGATGTGCCCGGAATTTGAAGGGATGGGGACGGGGGAATTCCAGGGATTTTCTCCTGCCAACCCCAGATGTGGGAATTAAAACCCTCACGGATTTATGGGCTCGGCGGGAGCGTGGAAATCATTCTGATTTTTCCTTGGGAAGGGGAGCAGGACCCGGGGGTGGGAATGGTCTGGTGAAAATGCCCTTTTCCCGTTTTTTTGGTGGATTTTCCTGCCCTTTCCCGTTTTTTTGGGGGTGGATTTTCCTGCCCTTTTCCCAGTTTTTGGGTGGATTTTCCTGACCATTTTTCCTGTTTTTTTGGGTGGATTTTCCTGCCCTTTTCCCATTCTCCTGGATGATTTTCCTCACCCTTTCCCATTTTCCTGGATGGATTTTCCTTCCTTTTCCCGGTTTTCTGTGTGGATTTCCCAACTCCTTTTCCGTTTTTTTGGCTGAATTTCCTGGATGCATTTCCCTCCCTTTTCCCATTTTCCTGGATGAATTTTCCCACCCTTTCCCATTTTCCTGGATGAATTTTCCCGCTCTTCCCCATTTTCCTGATGATTTTTCCTTCCCTTTCCCATTTCCCACTGGATTTCCCCGCCATTCCCATTTTTCCCGGGATTTTCCCACCCTTTCCCATTTTCCCAGTGGATTTTCCTTCCCTTTCCCATTCCCCCCTAGATTTCCCCACCCTTTCCCATTTTCCTGGATGAATTTTCCCGCCATTCCCATTTTTGCCCGGGATTTTCCCACCCTTTCCCATTTTCCCAGTGGATTTTCCCGCCATTCCCATTTTTCCGGGATTTTCCCACCCCGTTTTCCCGGTACCTTCTCGGCAGCCGCGGGCGCGGGCGCCGGGGGGAGCCCCCCGGGGGACTCCGGCCGCTTCTTGTGCTTCTGCTTCGGCCTCTCCTTGTCCTTGCGGCTCTGGAAAAAAACCCCAAAACCTCGGGAGTGTTGGAATTCCCAACGCTGGGAAGAGCAGCGTCGGAGCCCAGAAAGAAATCCCAGAAATAAATCCCTGTTCCTGTTGTTTTCCAGCGTCAGATCCCATAAATAAATCCAAATAAATTCCTTTTCCAGCACAAATCCCATAAACAAATCCCTGTTCCTGTTGTTTTCCAGCACAGATCCCATAAATAAATGCAAATAAATCCCTTTTCCAGTGCAAATCCCATAAAGGAATCCCATAAATAAATCCCTGTTCCTGTTGCTTTCCAGTGGCAGATCCCATAAAGAAATCCCATTTCTCCCAGCAAAATCCCATAAAGAAATCCCAATTCCCATTCTTTTCCAGCACAAATCCCATTAAAAAATCCCATAAATAAATCCCTATTTTTGTTGTTTTCCAGCACAAATCCCATAAATAAACCCAAATAAATCCCTGTTCCTATTCTGTTCCAGCACCAGATCCCATAAAGATAATCCCACCCCAAACCATTCCCAAATTCCCAAAAATTCATTTTCATGCCAAAAATCTGCCCAAAATGTGAATTTTTAACCCATTAAACTCCAAATTTGAGGGGGAAAATTCTAGATTTTGAGGTTTGGGTTGAGAAAATGGTGGGAATTTTTGGGGGATTTTGGGGATTTTGGGTTTTTTTGGGGATTTTGGGGTATTTTTGGGATTTTCTCACCTTTTTTGGCCGCTCGTGGTGGGCCGGGGGTTTTTCCTGGGGGGGTGAGGCCGAGCGGCTCCTCCGGCCCGGGAGGAAGGAGCCGCTCCCGGAATGGCGAGAGGTCTGGGGGAAAATGGGGGGAAAAAGGGAAAAATGGGGGAAAAAGCGGGAAAAAAGGGAAAAAAAAAGGGGAAATAAAGAAAGAAAAGGGGAAGAAAAATAAATGAAAATTCCCTAAAGAAATCAAATTCCCTAAATAATCAAATTCCCTAAAGAAATGAAAATTCCCTAAATAATCAAATTCCTTAAATAAATGAAAATTCCCTAAAGAAATCCAACCCAGCAAATGAAATAAAAACTCCCCAAAAAGGTGAAATAAATAAAAATAAATAAAAAATCAAAATCGTCGAAGGAAACAAAATTCCCTGGATCAAGGGCAATTCCCAAAATTCCCAAAATTCCTGAAAATTCCCGGAATTTTGGGCTCACCATCTTGCTGAAGTGGTATTTGCAGTAGCCGCAATATTTGACGTTGTCGACCTCCAGCACCTCCTCCTCGCACAGGAGCCCGGCCATCTGCGCGCTGCGGAAAAACGGGAAAAATTGGGGAAAATTGGGGAAATTCAGGGGAAAATGGGGAAAAATGGGGGAAGAAAATGGGAAAATGGCGGGGGAAAATGGACAATTGTGGGGAGAGAATGGGAAAATTGGGGGGAAAATGGGAAAAATTGGGAAATTGGTAGGAAGACATGGAGAAACAGGGAAAAATGGGGAAAGTGGGGAAAAAAATGGGGATAATTAGGGAAATTGGGGGAAATGGGGAAAAATGGAAAAAAGGGGGAAAATGGGGGTGAAAATGGGGGAAATGGGAAAATTGGGGAGAGAAAATGGAAAAAATGGGAAAAATGGGGGAAGTGGGGAAAAATGGGAGAAAATCAGGTGAAATGGGAGAAATGTGGGGGAAATGAGAAAAATGGGGAAAATGGGAAAATTGGTGGGAGATGGGAAAAATTGTGGGAAAAATGGGAAAATTGGGGGGAAATGGGGAAAAATTGGGAAAAATGGGAAGATTGAGGGGATAATGGGGGAAAAATGGGGAAAATGGGAAAATTAGGAGGAAATTGGGCAAATGGGAAATAATGGTGGGAGAAAATGGGAAAAATGGGGGAAATGGGGGGAAAATGGGGAAAAACCAGAAAAATGGGAAAATTGAGGGGGGGAAGGTGAAAAATGGGAAAATTGGCAGGAAAACAGGGAAAAATGGGGGATCAACCCCAAACCCCAAAACCTTCCAAGAACCAAACCCCAAATGCCGGGGGCAGATTCCGGAGGTGAATTCCCGGGATCTCACCAGGTGACGTGGAAGGCCTGGCGGCAGCCGTGCCGGTTGCAGGCCATGCAGGCCCCCGAGGCCGCTTTGCTCTCCCGCCCTTGCTCCTCGCAGATGTAGCAAGTCTGGAATGGAAGGACACCAAAAAAAAATGGGAAAAGTCACGTTTTCCAAAAAAAAAACCACAAGGAATTCCCAAATTTCATGGAATTCGTGGTGGGTCTAGAAGGGTTTTGGAGCTCGGCGAGTTCCAACCCCACATTCTACTCTCTGAGGTTGTGCTGGGCCGGTGAAGGAATTTCTGGGATATTTAACGGGATTTTTGGGAAAATTTTGGGATGTTCCATGGTGGGATACACAAAATTTCACATTTTTGCCCCCGAAATCCCAACCGTCCCGTCGGAGCCAACGTGGAATTCCATGGATTCAGTTGGTTCCAGTTGTTCCACCAAGAAATTACTGAAATTACCATTTTCTCCCTCAAAACCCATTCAAATATGGAGGATCCAACACGGAATTCCATGTATCCAGCTGGCTCCAGTTGTTCCACCAAGAAATTCCTGAAATTCCAATTTTCTCCCTCAAGACCCATCCAAATATGGAAGATCCAACAGGGAATTCCATGGATTGAATCATTCCACCAAGAAATTCCTCATATTCCCATTTTCTCCCCCAAACTTATCCAAATACGGACGTTCCAACATGGAATTCCATGGATCCAATCGTTCCACCAAGAAATTCCTGTGATTCCCATTTTCTCCCCCAAAACCCATCAAATATGGAGGATCCAACATGGAATTCCACAGATCCAGTAATTCCAACATGAAATTTCTGAAATTCCCCCTTTTCCCCAAAAACTCATCCAAATTTGGGGGATCCAAGCCAGAATTCCACAAATCCGATCATTCCACCAGGAAATTCCTGAAATTCCCATTTTTTCCCCAAAACCCATCCAAATATGGAGGATCCAACACAGAATCCAGGGAATTTCCTTGGTTTTTAACAGAATCCAGGATAATTTTTAGTGGATAATCCGGGAAGGGGACAGGATGATCCCAGAATTCCCAGAATTCCTGGATTTCCCAGATTTTACCTTGTTGAAGCGGTCGTGGGGGACGTACTGGAGCACGATGGGCTCCATGGTGAGGACGTTGGCGAACTGCACCTCGGGGATGTACAGGGCACAAACCACGTGTGCCCAGCCTGGGAAAATATGGAAAAACTGGAATTTTGTCCCAAAATCCCCCCCCCCCCCGCCTGAAAAAAAATCAGTGGGAAAAAAATTTCCCGTCCTGGAAAAGTCCATCCTGAAAAAGTTGCGTGGTAGAAATGGTTCTGTTGGTAAAAAAAAGTTGGTCCTAAAAAAGGTTCTGGTTCAAAAAAGACTTTATTCCACCTGAAAAAACCTTTATCCCGAAAAGGTCTCCATCCCAAAAAATCTGCATCCCAAAAAAATGGTGTCTCCAAATACATGTATACCCAAAAAACCCTCCTTCCCAAAAAATCTGCACCTCCAAAAATGTACATTCCCAAAAAACCTCCATCCCAAAAAACCCTATCCCAAAAAACCTGCATCCCAAAAAACCTCCATGTCAAAAATCATCCATCCCAAAAAACCTTCATCCCCCAAAAAAACCCCACCCCAAATTTGGGATTTGGGATTTGGGGCTTGGGGTTTGGGGTTTGAAATTTGGGGTTTGGGATTTGGGATTTGGTTTTTATTTTGGGATTGGGGGTTTGGGATTTGGGATTTATTTTGGGATTTGGGGTTTGGGATTTTGGAATTAGTGTTTGCAGTTTGGGATTTGAGGTTTGGTGTTCGGAATTTGGATTTGGGATTTGGGGTTCAGGAATTGGGATTTGAATCTGGGATTTGGGATTTCCTCACCCCCGTTGTCCGTGCGCTTCAGGGCCCCGTCCTTGTGGGGACACAGCTCGCACCTCTGCAAGGAAGAAAAAAATGAATTTTTTTGGGGAAAAGTGATTTTAATTTTGGTAATTTTTTTGGGGGGGAAATTTGAGATATTTAACCCCAAAATTTGGGCAAAAATCCCCAAAAGTTTTCCATACTCACCACCCGGGCGGCTCGCTCCTGCGATTCACATTTCCGGCAGAACCAGGGGCCCGTGGGAACCTGCACGATTCCATAACAGGCTGGAAAAAAGGGAAAAATAATCAAATTAAATTGGGAAAAAGGTAAAAAAATTAAATTAATTGTTTATTTCCCATTTCCCCCCCTATTTTTCCTCTTTATTTCCCATTTTTTCCCCTCTGTTCCCTGTTTATTTCCTGTTTTTTCCCCTGTGTTCCCTGTTTATTTCCTGTTTTTTTCCCCCTGTGGTTTCCTTTTCCCCCAGGGTTGCTTTTTTGGGCTCCCAAAGTTCTTCCCAGTTCTTCCCAAATTCTTCCTGTAAGTCCCAAACTCTTCCTGGAAATCCCAAATTCTTCCTGGAAATCCCAAATTCTTCTGGAAATCCCAAATTGCTCCTGTAAATCCAAAATTCTTCCTGGAAATCCAAAACTCTTCCTGAAAATCCCAAACTCTTCATGGAAATTCCAATTTCTTCATGGAAATCCAAAATTCTTCCTGAAAATCCCAAATTCTTCCTGGAAATCCAACATTCTTCCTGGAAATCCCAAATTCTTCCTGAAAATCCCAAACTCCTCATGAAAATCCAAAATTCTTCCTGGAAATCCAAAATTCTTCCTGGAAATCCGAAATTCTTCCTGAAAATCCAAAATTCTTCCTGGAAATCCCAAACTCCTCATGAAAATCCAAAATTCTTCCTGGAAATCCCAAACTGCCCCTGGAAATCCCAAATTCTTCATGGCAATTCCAAACTCCTCCTGCCCCTCAAAAATTGTTCTGGAATATTCGGAACCCAACCCGAGCCTCTGGAAATGTTCCTGACTCCTCAAAACTGTTCCTGATCCTCTGGAGTTGTTCTGGACAGACGGACAGGGACAGGGACAGGGCTGGACAGACAGACAGGACACAGCCGGACTCACAGACACAACTGGACTCATGGACAGAGCCGGACTCACGGACACAGCCGGACACAGCCGGACTCACGGACATGGCCGGACTCACGGACACAGCCAGACTCACGGACACAGCCGGACACAGCCAGACATATGGACACAGCCGAACTCACGGACACCCAGAGCCAGGACCAAGCACCGGGAACAGAGAGTGAACAGGAGGGGCTGGAGATGGACTGGGACAGGAACGGGATAAAAAACAACAACCAGGACAGGAACGTGATAAAACACCCGGGACGGGAACAGGAGAACAACAACCGGAACAGGAATGGGATAAACAACTGGGACAGGGTAACAAGTGGGACAGGAATGGGATAAAACAACAACCAGGTCAGGAATGGGATAACAACAACTGGGACGGGAACAGGATAAAACAACCGGGACAGGGATGGGATAACAACAACTGAGAAACTGACAGGATAACAACAACTGGGACAGGAACGGGATAACAGCAACCAGGTAAGAATGGGATAACAACAAGTGGGACAGGAACGGGATAAAACAACAACCGGGAAATTGACAGGATAACAACTACCAGGAAATTGACGGGATAACAACAACCGGGACAGGGATGTGATAAAACAACAACCGAGAAATTGACACGACAACAACAGCCAGGACAGGAACAGGATAAAAAATAACCAGGACAGGAACGGGGTAACAACAACCGGGACAGGGATGTGATAAAACAACAACCAGGTCAGGAATGGGATAAAGCAACCGGGACAGAAACGGGGTAACAACAACCGGGACAGGTATGGGATAACAACAACCGGGGAATTGATGGGATAACAACATCCGGGACAGGCATGAGATAACAACCAGGATGGGATAAAAAATAACTGGGATAGGAATGGGATAACAACACCCGGGACAAGGATGGGATAAAACAACCAGGAAATTGACAGGATAACAACAACCAGGAAACTGGACAGGAACGGGATAAAACAACAACCAGGACAGGGATGGGATAACAACAACCGGGACAGGCACAGGATAACAACAACCGGGACAGGCACAAGATAACAACAATCGGGACAAGGACAGGATAAAATATAACCAGGATAGGAATGGGATAAAACAACAACCAGGTCAGGAACAGGATAACAACAACCGGGAAATTGACATGACAACAACAGGCAGGACACGGACAGGATAAAAAATATCCAGGACAGGAACGGGATAAAGCAACAACCAGGTCAGGGATGGGATAACAACAACCGGGACAAGGATGGGATAACAACAACTGAGAGATTGACAGGATAAAATAAAAAACGGGACAGGAATGGGATAACAACCACTGGGGCAAGAGCAGGATAACAACAACTGGGACAGCAACAGGATAACAACAACAACTGGGACAGGAACAGGTTAAAAAACAACCGGGACAGGCACAGGACAGCAACAGCTGGGACATTGACTGGATAACAACAACCAGGAAACTGACGGGATAACAACAACCGGGACAGGAACGGGATAACAACAACCGGGATAGGAATGGGATAACAACAACCGAGAAACTGACAGGATAGCAACAACCGGGACACGGACATGATAACAAGAACAGGGACAGGGACAGGATAACAACAACCGGGACAGAAATGGGATAATAACAACCGGGACAGGAATGGGATAAAGCAACAACCGGGAAACTGACGGGACAACAACAACCGGGACAGGAACGGGATACCAGCGGCCGGGAAAACAGCGCGGCCCGAGCAGCCGGGAACCCTCGGCGCATTCCAAACCAACCGAGCAGGGATTCGCCGCGCCTCCGCCGCCTCGGATCGCGATTTTAATCCGGATTTGTTTTGTTCACCGAGCCGAGGCCAAACTTTCCGGGCCCGTTACCGTGCGCGGGGGGGCGGGCTCGGAGCCATTTAAAATGCAAATCGCCCGTGTCGCCGGGAGCGGCGGGCGGAGGAGGAGGAGGAGGAGGAGGAGGAAGGCTGCCTTCCTCCCTCCCTACCCTCGCAGGACGCAGCTCCGGGCCCCGCCGCCCCCTCCGGTGCTTCCCCCCGGTCCCGACACCCCCGGGCCGGGCTGGGGGGCGACAGCGCCTCTTCCCCTCCCCGTTAAACCGGGGGGACACCGGACAAATCCCCGCTGTGGCCACTCCCGGGGGGGCTCCGCTGCTGCCCCAACCGTGTCCCCACCGTGTCCCCCCCCTCTCCGCGGCCACGCCACACCGGCGGCGACACCGTTATTCGGAACAATAGCGCTAAAACAAAGCGCACCCCCCCTCAACCACCACCACCACCCCCATCCTCACCCCGCCCCATCCCCCGGAGGGTTTCGGGGGGCTCGGGGCTCACCTTGGTGCACGGCCACATTGCAGCCGTGGCCGTCGCAATAGACGAGCGGGTTCTCCGCCCAGCCGCGCTCGTCGGAACACACACAGCAGCCTCCCACCATCTCCTTCATACTTCCAGGAGGGTTTCCTGCCCCCCCTAACCCCCCCCCCCCCCCGCCACTCTCGGTGCGCTCCTCCTCCTCCTCCTCCTCCTCCTCCTCCTCCTCCTCCTCCTCCTCCTCCTCCTCCTCCTCCGTGCTGCCCCCTCCCCGCCTCTCCCGGGGGGACCGCCGGGGATGGAGGGAGAGGGGGACAGCGGCGACAGCAAGAAGCCACAAGCGGGCGGGGCGAAGTGACAGCGAGGGGACAACGCGGGGACAGCGTGGGGGGGTGGCGGATGTGGCCCCGCGCCACCAAAATCCTCCCCCCCCACCACCACTTTCTGTCTGCCTCCCCCCTTTCCGCTCGTTATCCCCGTTCCCCGCGGTTATCCCCGTTCCCCCCGGTTATCCCCGTCCCTCGGCTTGTCCCTGTCCCCTCAGCTTGTCCCCGTGTCCCCCAGTTTGTCCCCGACCCCCCCAGTTTGTCCCCGTGTCCCCCCCCTCCCCATCCCATTACAATCATGGCGGCGCCCGCCCGCACGCTCCGGTAAAATTTGCGGTTCACGGATCGCGGCGCGGCCGGACGGGCGGGTTTGAGCGAGGAGGATATTTTGATTTTATGTTTTTTTGGTTTTTTTTTTGACCTTTTCCCAACGCTTTGGGATGAGGATTTTGGGGTTTTTTTTTTCCCCTCGCCGTGCTCGGTTTGGATGGCGCTGTGGCTGCGTTCCCGATGGGAATCGCATTATCCCGAAATTCCCGGATCCCGGATCCGGCAGCGCCAGCGGGCCTGGAAATGGGATTTAACCCCTTGCGCCCCGGAAAGGAGGAAAAATGCTCCTAAATCCTGAAATAATGGGAATATTTATTTATGGGATTACACCTGCAGGAATGGAGTAGAGAGAAATTATCCTGAAATATTTGGAATATTTATTTATGGGACTGTGCCTGTAGGAAAGGAGTGGAGAGAAAGAATTCTGAAATATTTGGGATATTTATTTATGGGATTGCAATGCCCAGTGCCCAGTGCCCAATGCCCAGTGCCCAATTCCCAGAGCCCAATGCCCAGTGACCAGTGACCAGTGCCCAGTACCCGGTCCCCAGTCTGGTTGCCCCTTGCCCGGTGCCCATTGCTGGTTGCCCAGTCCGGTTCCCCCGTGCCCGGTTGCCCATTCCCCAGTCCCCATTTCCCATTCCCCAATCCCAGTTGCCCAGTGCCTGTTGCCCATTCCCCAGTCCCTGTTCCCCCGTGCCCAGTTTCTCTTCCCCAGTCCCGGTTGCCCAGTGCCCGTGCCCGGTGCCCGTTCCCCAGTCCCCGTTGCCCGGTGCCCATTGCCCAATCCCCAGTCCCGGTTGCTCCGTGCCCGGTGCCCGTTGCCCGTTGCCCAGCCCGGTTGCCTGGTTCCCATTGCCCATTGCCCAGTCCCGGTTGCCCCATGCCCGGTGCCTGTTGCCCGCTGCCCAGCCCGGTTGCCCGGTTGCCCGGTGCCCGGTGTGCGCGAGCCGGGCCCGGGGCGCACCCCCGGCACGGGCAGGAAGCGGCCGCGGCCCCTCGGGCTCGGAGCCGCATCCGGCCCGGGGCTGCGGGGGCGCAGGAAACGGGGGGGGTGGGGGGAGGGAGGGGGAGGGGAGGAGAGGGGACAGGGGAGCGGGGGAGCGGCCCCGGACACCGGAGGGACACGGGGGAACCTCCCGGGGAGTGTCTGGATCACCACCTGTACCTCCATCCGTCCATCCATGGATCCATCCATCCCTTCCTCCATCCATCCATCAGCCATCCATCCATCCATCCATCCCTTCCTTCCTCCATCCATCCCTTCCTCCCTCCATCCATCCATCCATCCACCCATCCATGAATTCCATCATCCATCCGTGATCTCCATCCATCCATCCCTCCATCATCCATCCATTCATCCATGATCTCCATCCATGGATTCCATCCATCCATCCATCCATCCATGGACTCCATCCATCCATCATCCATCCATCCATCCATGATCTCCATCCATCCATCATCCATCCATCCATGATCTCCATCCATCCATCATCCATCCATCCATGATCTCCATCCATCCATCATCCATCCATCCATGATCTCCATCCATCCATCATCCATCTATCCATGATCTCCATCCATGGATTCCATCCATCCATCCATCCATCCATGGACTCCATCCATCCGTCATCCATCCATCCATCCATGATCTCCATCCATGCCTCAGGACACTTTGGACATTTGGGATTCTCCAGCCTGGCAAGGAGAAGATCCAGGGACACCTCAGAGCCCTTCCAGGGCCTCAAGGAGCTTCAGGAGAGCTGGAGCGGGCCTGGAGACAAGGACAGAGGGACAAGGGGACAAGGATGGAGGGACAAGGGGACAAGGACAGGGTGACAGGGGGGACAGGGAGGGACAGGAAGTGACAGGATCGAGATGAGCTGGAATTTCCCACCCCCCCTCAGTTGCTGATCAGGAATTCTGTGGCTGTGACCCAGGAATTAATCACTGCTGAATGATTAATTAATTAATTAATTAATTAATCAATTAATCAATCACGACTAGGCCCTTGGCAAACAAAAATCGGCCAAATTCTGACAACTTTGAGCTTTCCCCCCCCCAAAAAAATAATGTGGAAAATTCACAGGCACTGCTCCAGCGTGAATCAGAACTAATTAATGAGTAATTAATGAGTAATTAATGAGTGGCACCAATCAGCTCAGCCCTGACTCACATCCATCCCGAGGCTGAAATATTTTCTTGGGGGGGCTTTGCAAGCCCCAGGAATGGGAAATTTTGATGAAATTGTCCAAAATTGGGGTGATTGAAGGAGTTTGGGATGGATCTGAGTATTCCCCAGGGGCTCTAAAACCAGTTTTAATTAACCTCCGCATTAATTAAACCCATGACTAAATTAAAACCACGCCAGCAGGCGTGGAGCAGTTCCGCCGCTCTGCTCTGCCGACAGCAGCAGATTTTTGGGGTGATTTCCGAATTTAGACGAACCCTCCCCGCTGTCCTCTTCCTTCCCTCCGCCCAAAATAGCGACGGGACCCGAAACTGAAACCGAGATTTTCGGCACCAAAATTTGGCTTCAAGGGATTTTTGAAGGGTTTGCTCTGCCAGGACGAATTTTGGGGGTTTTTGGGGCGTTTTCTCCTTTACTGCTGCTGAGTTTTGGGGTTGGGGTGGGCGACGGGACCTGAAACTGAAACCAAGATTTTCGGCACTAAAACTCGGTTTGGTCCCCTGGCAAGTGTCCTCAGGTGTCCTCTGGTCCCCAGGAAAGTGTCCCTTGGTGTCCTCGGGTCCCTGCCAAGTGTCCCTTGGTGTCCTTGGGTCCCCAGGCACCGGGGGCTGCAGGGGAAGGAACCTCCCAGAATTGGGAATAACCCCGGGAGACCGAGCTGTTCCCGCAGCTCATCCCAACGGGATCCCGATCCCGCAGCTTACCTCAACGGGAACCCGATCCTACAGCTCACCCCAGTGGGATCCTGATCCTACAGCTCATCCCAATGGGAACCCGATCCTACAGCTCATCCTAATGGGATCCCCATCCTGCAGCTCATCCCAACGGGATCCCCATCCTGCAGCTCATCCCAGTGGGATCATCATTTCCCAGCTCATCCCTTTGGGATCATCTTTCTCCATCTCATCCCTTTGGGATCATCACTCCCAGCTCATCCCTTTGGGATCATCATTCCCAGCTCATCCCGATTCCCATTCTCCAGCTCATCCCTTTGGGATTCCCATCCTGGAGCTCATCCCAGTGGGATCCTGATCCTAAAACTCATCCCTTTGGGATCATCATTCCCAGCTCATCCCGGATTCCCATGCCCCACTGCATCCCATTGGGATTCCCATCCTGCAGCTCATCCCAATGGGATCCTGCACTCATCCCTTTGGGATCACCATTCTCCATCTCATCCCTTTGGGATTGTCATTCCCCAGCTCATCCTTTTGGGATCATCATTCCCACAGCTCATCCCAGATTCCCATTTCCCAGCAAATCCCATTGGGATTCCCATCCTGGAGATCATCCCAATGTGATCCTGCAGCTCATCCCTTTGGGATCATCATTCCCAAAACTCATCCCAGATTCCATTTCCCAGCTCATCCCTTTCGGATTCCCATCCTGAAATTCATCCCAATGGGATCCTGTACCTCATCCCTTTGGGATCATCAATCCCAAAACTCATCCCAGATTCCATTTCCCAGCTAATCCCAGTGGGATTCCCATCGTGGAGCTCATTCCAATGGGATCCTGTACCTCATCCCTTTGGGATCATCAATCCCAAAACTCATCCCATTGGGATCATCATTCCCAGCTCATCCCAGATTCCCATTCCCAGAGTTCCTCCCTTTGGGATCATCATTCCCACAGCTCATCCAGGATTCCCATTCCTGCAGTTCATCCTTTTGGGATCATCATTCCCAAAACTCATCCCATTGGGATCATAATTCCCATATCCCAGATTTCCATTCTCCATCTCATCCTTTTGGGACCATCATTCCCACATCCCAGATTCCCATTCCCACAGCTCATCCCATTGGGATCATCTTTTTTTTTTTTCTCCCAGAGGATTGGGAATATCCACTCCAGAGGAGGAAAATTGGGATTTTCCATTATTTTTCCCATTTTTGTTTCACTTTCCTCTGACCCCAACCAAAAATTCACACAAAAAAGAACTTTATGACCAAAAAAATTCCAAATTTTTGCATTTTACTCCCCTTTAAGGGAATTTCTCTCCTGGAAATGGAATTTTACCCCCAAACCACCCCAAATTTGCTGATTTTCCCCCCAAACCAAGCGATTCCAGCCCAAAATTTTGTATTTTCTTTTATGTTTAAATTTATATTTCTTTTATTCCATCTATTCCCTCTGCAGCTCCACCCCCCTCAATCTATTTCTTATTTAAAATTGATTTTTTGTTATTCTTTGGTCACTTAAATTCCCTCCAACACCTCGAAACCAAAGCGAAAATTACCATAATTAACATCAAGATGATAATTTTTATTTTAATGAATATTTTTTGGGGCAGTTCTGCCACTCCAGGCGCCTTTTTAATGAAAATTTCAAGGTATTTTGAATATTTTTTCCCTCAACCCCGTAACATTTACAGGACATTTACAGAGAATTTATTGAGATTTACAGAACATTTACAAATATTTACAAATATTCACAATTATTTACATCCCGACCCCACGCGCCAGCGGAGAAATGAACAAAATCTCTGCCCAAAAAATGTGAATTTTTTAATAGAAAAATTGAATTTTTAGCTGTATTTACACCGGGATAAAAATCTGGGCTGCTCCCCCCACAATTCCCGAGGTGATTTTATCCAAAAAATATTCCTGAGTTTTTTTTTATTTTTGGGGGGGAGGGAGCTGCGGCGTCTGGAGGTTGCTGGATTTAAATATTTATATTTATATATTTATATTTTTACATGATTTTAACATATTTATACTATTTTAAATATATTTTTATGATTTTTATATAAGATTATAAATATAAATATAAATATTCATCCCCAGCGCTCATCCCGGGATTTTTTTTTTCCCCAACCCCACCCACAAATTATTTAAAATTCCATTAAAAAAAATACAAAATATATTTTTAACCCCACCCGGGTTAAAATTCCATGGAAAACCTCCCCTAAAAATCTGATTTTCTCGCCATGTTTTGGGCTTGTTTGGGGGGATTTTTTTGGGAATAACTGCTTGAAAATCCCAATATTTTGCCGTGGGAATTTCCCACTGCTCTGCTCAGTGGGAGGGGGCAAAATAAACAAATAAAAGTGATTTAACCCCCAAAAAAACCTGCTAAAAATCCAAATTAAATAAACATCTTTTAGCACCAACTCGCCACTTCCAGAGAAAACCACACCCAGCACATCCCAAATATTCCCGGCCTTTATAAATCCCTTTTTCCCCCCCATTTTTCCCTTTTTTTCTTTTTTTTTTTTAATAAAAAAATGGAATTAAAAACTGGAATAAGTCCAGCAGGCCACATGTGAAGATTTTCCTTTCCATCCTTCCTTTTTCCCCTCACAACGATTTTTAATTTTGAATTTTTTTTCTTTTGTTTTCAGGCCTAAATTTTGGAGCAAAAATTAAGAATTTTCCAAGCAGGATCCTGGAAAAAAAAAGAAAAAAAAAAACAACCCAAAAAACCAAATTAACTTTGATTTTTTTTGGTTTTTTTTAAGTTTCCAAAGCAAAAATTTGAGGGCTTTGATGGGTTGAAAATCCCATTGGGAATTTCCAAAGTTTTGGGAAAATTCAAGTGAGGGGAGGGGTGGAAATTCCAGCCAGGATCAAATCCTTTCATTCTCGATTTTCCCGGATTTTTTCCTGGATCCAAACCTTTTCCAGGGATGATTATCCCACAAATTCCTCATTTTTTTTCCCTTTTCCACCACTTTTTAAAAATATTTTTCACATTTCCATGGAGCTGCTTCAAGTCACTTCCTCTCCACCTCTCCCGCTTTCTCCCAACCTCCCAAAATTCCAGATTCTTTTAAAATCTGGTGTTTCCTCCCTGCTCCTACACCAGGAAAACACCACTGGAAAATCGGGATTTTCTGGATTTTCCAGATTTTCCCCAGGATCCACTCGGCCTGGAAAGGAATGGGATTTTTATTGATTTAATTCAATTTTTTATGGAGGGAAAAGGAGAAATGAGGGCTGGAGTTTGGGGGTTTTTTGGGTTTTGTTTTTTTTTTTGGAGTAGGGTCGGGAGCTCCTTCCCAGCTTATTCCCAGTTAATTCCCAGTTTATTCCCAGTTTATTCCCAGTTCATTCCCAGTTCAATCCCAGTTCATTTCCAGTTTTCCCAGTAGCTGCTTTGTCCCTAAATCCCTTTACTGGGAATCACCCCCTTGTTTCCAGCAGTGCGTGGAATTTTTGGGGAATTATTTGGGTTTTAATCTCACCCTAAAATTCCTCCCAAACCCAATATCACACACGGCCCCAAACTGGCCTCAAACTGGCCCCAAATTGGACCCAAATCGGCCCCAAATTAGTCCCAAATTGGACCCAAATCGAACCCAAATCGGTCCCAAATCAGCCCCAAATTGGCCCCAAATCAGCCCCAAATAGGGCCAAAATCAGCCCCAAATAGGCCCCGAATCGGCCCCAAATCAGCTCCAAGTGGGGCCAAAATCGGCCCCAAGTCGGACCCAATTCAGCCCCAAAACAGCCCCAAATCAGTTCCAAGTAGGACCCAAATCAGACCCAAATCAACCCCAAATCAGCTCCAAACGGGCCCCAAATCAGGCCCAAACCGGTCCCAAATCAGCTCCAAACTGGCCCCAAAACGTCCCCAAAATCAGCTCCAAATCAGAACCAAATCAACCCCAAATCACCTCCAAACCGGCCCCAAATCAGCCCCAAATCGGACTCAAATAAACCCCAAATCAGCTCCAAACCGGCCCCAAATCAGCCCCAAATCGGACCCAAATAAACCCCAAATCAGCTCCAAACCGGCCCTAAATCAGCCCCAAATTGAGCCAAAACAGCCCCAAAACGTCCCCAAACCGGCCCCAAGAAGTCCCCAAATCGGGCCAAAACAGCCCCAAAACGTCCCCAAACCCCCCCAAACCACCCCAAGCCACCCCCTTCCCCCCGCGAGCCCCCGCTCCCATCCCCGGCACCTCCCGCGATCCTGGAGCGGCTCCTGCGCTCCTCAGGGACCCTCCGCGACCCCTGCGCGGAATTTGGGGCTGGGGGGCACGGGGATGGCGCTGCCCCCCAGGTGCCACCGCCACAGCGGGTGCGTCTTGGCCAGCGCCCAGGACTTTTTACCACCCAGCGACGAGGCCGGGCACAAATCTCCGTCCTCGCCCACCACCAGCGAGGGCGTGCAGGGGAAGTTGCCCATCAGGCTGAAAGAATTCCGAGGTTTCGCTTCGTTTCCCTTCCTGGAATTCCTCCTGGGGTTTTTTGGCGGTCTGCTTTTGGAGGAGCCGCGTCGCCTCTCGGTGACCCTGGCGAGTCGCCGCCGTTTGGAGTTGCCATCCCGGCGACCTCGCAACGCCGCGGGGCTCTCGGCTCCGGTTCCACCGGGCTGGAAGCGCAGCTCCGCTCCCCTCCAGAGCTCCGGGCTGCCCCGGCCGTGCCTCAAACCTTTCCCGTCCACGTTGAATCCTTTGGCGTAGCACCACAGCTTGGATTGGCGGATCAAGCGGTCGAAATGCTCCGGTCGGGGCTCGCCGAGGGCAGCGGGGCTCGGCCGCAGCTCCGGGGCCGGTTCGGGGGAAGGCGCCGGCCCCGGGGAGGCTCCGCGGGGCCGCTCGGAGCAGGAGCTTTTGTTCGAGGCGTCTTTGTGCAAATCCTTCCCCCCGGCCTCCCCAGAGCCGCGCTCCTTTTGTGGCGGGGCCCCCCCGGGGATGCTGCGGCTCGGGGAGGGAGGGGGCGAGGAGGAGGAGGAGGAGGAGGAGGAGGAGGAGGAAGAAGCAGGGGAGGCTTCGTGCCTCGCGGAGAGCCCCGGCTGAGCCCCCGGCGCTGCGGCCGCGCTCAAACTTTCCAAAGTTGAGGCTCGCAGGGTGCGGGCCCAGAGGTGCTGCGAGAGGAAGAGGAGCTCGGGCTCGGGGCGCAGCGCTTTGCTCGGGGGGGGCTCCGCCGGCCGCTCCTCCCCGAGCGCTTCCCGGTGGGGCTGGAACCGGGGCAGGGCCGCCTGTCGGTACCGAGTGCTCTGCACCGAGTCCCCGCTGCTCTCCGACTCCGAGGAGCTGCCCTCCTCGCTGCTGCACGAGCTGTCCCCTTCCTCCTCTTCCTCCTCCTCCTCCTCCTCCTCTTCCTCCTCCTCCTCCGAGGAGTCGCTGGAGGTGGCGGCGCTGGAGGCGGCGAGGTCCAAGCTGGAATCCGAATCGCTGGAGTAACCGGCGGACGTTCCCTGGCGCTTGGAAACGGCGAAACCGCGGCACCGACCCTTCCTGCCGGCCGCCGGCCCCGCTCCGGCCGGGGCGAGCCCCCGGGGCCAGCACGGACCCCTCCGGTACCGGCCCGCGGTACCGAGCGCGGCCGGGAGCGCGCAGGGCTGCGCGGCCGCGGGGTGCAGCAGCGCTAAATACCGGGGAGAAGCGGCCGGGACACCCCCAAAAATCCCCCCGCGGACCGGCTGGAGCTGCTGCGGGCCGGGGGGCGGCACTGCCCGGCCGGGGGCAGCGCAACAACCGCTGGCTCTGCAGGGAGGGGGCCGCGGGCAGGGGAAGAACCCCCCGGAGGACGGCGGCAGCAGCTGCTGCCTCCTCCTGCTCTTCCTCCTCCTCTTCCTCCGGCGGAGGCTCCGGCAGGAGGTGCAGAGAGCCTCCAGGTCCGCCTTGGAGATGAGCGAACACTTCACGGCGCGGGTGGGCACGGAGTTGATGGCTTTGAGGGTCCGCAGCTCGGCCAGGTCGCAGCGGCGGCTTTTGATTTTTAAAGTTTCCATTTTCTTGCTGATGGTGGTCCTGGGGATGTCCTTGAAAAGGTCGCTGAGCACCTGGGCCAGCGCGAACATTTGGGTGCCGTTGATTTGTAAATAACCCAAATTGATGCCTTCGATCTGTTGGTAGCCAGCGTGGAAATGGCCCGGCCGGGCTGGCACGTTGTAGTCCATGGTGGCCGGAACGATCCCCAAAGTGCCCTCGCAGGTTAAGAACATTTTTTTGGGTGTTTTTTGGTTTTTTTTTACTTTGTCCCTTTCAAAAAAGGGCAGAGAAAATCAAGAAAATCAAGAAAATCAAGACATTTGTGTTTCCACTCGCTGATCACACACATCCCTCCGGAGAGGGGCCAGAGGGGGAGGGGAGGTGAAAAAAAAAACAAGGAAAAAAACAACAAAAAAACCCCAAAAATAAGCAGATCTCGCGTTCAAACGCTCCGCTCGAGGTTTGGCAACATCTCCCCAACACCCAATTCCTGCTCCGGGCTCGGCTCCTCGTCTGCCTCCTCCTCGGCGAGGAAAAAAAAGAGAAAAAAAATCAAAAAGTCAAACATCTCTCATCGGCCGGGCCGGCCCCGCACCCACCTCCGCCTCCCAAATAATCCCCTTTTTTTGGGTTTTTTTTGGGGGGGTTGGTGTAAATCAACCCCGAGCGGACAAAGCTCGGGGGGCTCCTGGGGGGGGTCCAGAAATTTCTCTGGGGACACCTCCAGGAACGCCCCCGGCTCCATTCGGGGGTCCCCAAATCCCAAATTTCCGCCTCGCCCCCTCCCCAAACCCCGCAGACACAATGGGGGCACCCCCTCGGTGGAAAAACCCCAGAATTAAATCAAAACCCCAAAATCAAATTTAAAAAAACCCCAAATTAAACCCAAAACCCCAAATCAAAACCCCCTAAATCAAAACCCCAAAATTAAATCAAAAACCCCAAAACCAAATAAAACCCAAATCCAAAACCCCAAATCAAAACCCCCTAAATCAAAACCCCCCAAAATCCAATCCAAAAACCCCAAAATTAGATCAAAAACCCCAAATCAAAAACACCAAATCAAAACCCCTAATCAAAAACCCCAAATCAAACCCCCCCAAATCAAAAACCCCCAAAATTAAATAAAAAAAACCCCAAAACAAAACCCTAAATTAAAAACCCCAAAATTAACTAAAAAACCCCAATAAAATCCCCAAAATTAAATCAAAAGCCCCGAATAAAACCCCCAATATTAAATCCAAAACCCCCAATAAAAACCCCAAATCAAAAACCCCCAAATCAAAACCCCCAAACCAAAAACCCCCAAATCAAAACCCCCAAAATCAAACCAAAAACCCCCAAAATTAAATCAAAAACCCCAAATAAAAACCCCAAATCACCGAGGTTCCGAGGCGGCGGCAGCGCGGGCGCCTCCGCTTTGTTTCCGCGGTTTTAAATGGATTTTTCGATTTTTTTTTTTTTTTTGGGTTGCTTGAAGAGGTCGCTGCTCCTTCCCAAATTCCTCTGGGATGGGTGTGTGGAGGAATATTTTTAATAAAGCGTGAAAAACGTTCCTTTTAAGCGGTTCGCTCCACAATTCATCCTGCAGCTTATTAATTAATTGAGAATTAATTGGATTTATTAGCAGGAAGAGCGGTGGAAAAAGAGAGTTGTGAGGGAGTTGTATTCTTCTTTTTTTTCCCCTTTTTTATTCACTTTTTTTGTCTTTTTTTTTTTTTTTCCGGTCAAATTCTTTGTTAAAAGGCGAAAAAAATGAGGGGAAAAGAGAAAAAAAAAAAAAAGGAAAAAAATTTAAAAAGGAAAAAATAAGAAAAGGAAAGGGGAAAAGGGGGGGAAGAAAAAAAGGGAAAGGAAAAAAGGGAAAGAAAAAAGGGAAAGAAAAAAAGCAAAAGAAACAAAAAAGCAAAAGAAAAAAAAAAAAAAAAAAAAAAAAGAAAAAAAAAAAAAAAAAAAAAAAAAAAGGAAAAGAAAAAAGGGAAAAATACCAAAAAAGGGCAAAAAAAGAAGAAAAAAAAAATGAGGGAGGGGAAAATAAATTTTAAAAGGAAATAATAGAGGGGGGAAAAAGGGGAATTCTCTCGCACGCCTCGGAGCTGCTGAACTTTATTTCCAACTTTAAATCCCGAGTTTTTTTCGGTGTTTAGCAACTTTCCCAAAAGAAAAAACCCAAAAATTAAAAGTAAAATAAAATAAAATAAAAAACAACAGCAAAAACCCTGGGCTGCAGATTCCTCTTGGCAAAAAGGGGGGAAAATGGGGGAAAAAAAGGAGAAAAAAATTTGAATTTTAAGCGTTGGGTTCCTTTGTGGCGGGTTTGAGCTCCTTTTTTGTCTCCGGCACGAAAAGTTGATTTTTTTTCTTCTTTTTTGGGTTTTTTTTGGGAGGTTTTGTATGGTTTTTTTTAAATTTTAATCTGTATTTGTTGAGAGATCCCAAATTAGCAACGAGCCCGGAGGAGGAGGAGGAGGAGGAAAAAAGGAGGAGGGAAAGAGGAGGAGGAGGAGGAAGCGAATTCCTGAGCGAGCGTGGAGGAAAAAAAAAATTTAAAAAAAATTTAAAAAAATTCAAAATAATTCAAAAATTATTTCCCCGCTGATCCCAAAAGGATCCCTGGGAAACCTCCCAATTTTTCCAGCATCCATACACCAAAAATTCCCAATTTTCCAACCCAATCCCGCAGAATTTCCTCGAGGGAATTTTTCCAACGATAAAAAAAAAAAAATAAAGTAAAAAAAAAAAAAATCCCAAATCCTTCTTTGTTCCCAAAAAGGGGTTTGGGAACCGCCAAAATGAAAAAAAAATCCGATTTATTTTTTTTTCCAGCGGAGCTGGAGCTTTGCTGGGAATTTTGGGGTTAAATTCGCTTTTCCACGCCAGAGCCATTTTATTTTACCTTTGGGTTGAGCTCGGCCGGGAGGGAGGAGCGGAGCGAGGAGGAAAAATTCGGAATTTTTGGAATTTTTTTTTTTACCCTTTTCCAGGAGATCCCAAAATGTTCCGGGAAAATTCCCAAAATCCTCAAGAATTCACCCCAAAAATCCCGAGGGGGGAATTTGGGGGAGCAGCCGGAGCCCCCCGAGCGGAAGGGGGGGAGGGGAGGAGTGGAGACGTCATTTCCCAGGAAATCTGGGAAGGCAAATTTGGGGAATTTTTTGGGGAAAAAGGTGAAATTCCACTCGGGATTTCGCTGTAAGGACATGGAAATGAGTTCTATTTATAAATATATTTATTTTTAATTTATGTCTTCTATTTATACAGCGGTGGGCAGGGCACAGGCGGGAGGTGCTGCCCGAATAAACTCATTTTTATCCCAAATAAACTTATTTTTCTCCCAAATAAACTACTTTTTATCCCAAATAAACTCGTTTTTATCCCAAATAAATGCGTTTTAATCACAAATAAACGCGTTTTTATCCCAAATAAACGCGTTTTTATCCCAAATAAACACGTTTTTATCCCAAATAAACTCATTTAAATATCAAATAAACTTATTTTATCTCAAATTCGCGGCTCCGTGTCCCCTTCACCTCCCGGCTCATTCTTAGATTTTTTTTTTTTTTACTTTTTTAGGGTTTTTTTTGCTATTTTAGTTGGTTTTTTTTTTACCGTTTTAGGGTTTTTTAGGCCGGGAAGAGCCAAGGATTGGGATGTTCCAGAGTCCCACCGAAGGAGCCCTGGGGAGGGTTTTTTGGGGAATGAGCTCGGCCAAAAAATGGAAATTTCAGAATGTCTGAATATTCAAATATTCCAATATCTGAATTTCCAAATATCTAAATATCTTAATATGGAAATATCTAAATATTGGAATATCGGAATATCAGAATTTCCCAATATCTGAATATTAGAATATCGAAATTTCTCAATATCTGAATATCCAAATATGCCAATATCTGAATTTCCAAATATCCAAATATCTGAATATGGGAATATCTAAATAGCTGAATATTGGAATATCAGAATATCCAAATATCTGAATATAGAAATATTTTAATATTGGGATATACAAATATCAGAATATCCAAATATCCCAATATCTGAATATGGGAATATCAGAATATCCCAATATCTGAATATCCAAATATCCCAATATCAGAATATCTGAATATCTCAATGTCTGAATACAGGAATATCCAGATATCTGAATATTGAAATATCAGAATATTGGAATATTGGAATATCTGGATATCCAAATATCGGAATATCTAAATATCAAAAGATCTGAATATTGGAATATCTGAATATTGGAATATCTGAATATAAAAAAAATCTGAAAATCAAAAAATCTGACTGTGGGAATATCAGAATATCTAAATATCCCAATATCTGAATATGGGAATATTTGTATATTGAAATATCCCAATATCTGAATATATGAATATCCCAATATCTGAATATGGGACTATCTGAATATTGGAATATTTGATTATCTGAATATCCCAATATCCAAATATGTCAATATTGTAATATGCAAATATCCCAATATCTGAATACGTGAATATCTGAACATCCAAATATTGGAATACTGGAATATCTGAATATCCAAATATGGAAATATTCAAATGTCTGAATATCAGAATATTGGATTATCAAAATGCTGCAATATCCAAATATCCAAATGTCTGAATATTGGAATATCTGAATATCGGAATATCTGAATATTGGACTATCCAAATATCCAAAGGCTTGAATATTTGAATATTGGAATATCTGAATATCAGAATATCTGAATATCGGAATGTTGGAATATTTTTGTTTATTAACTGGGTATTTAATTGGGTATTTATTGGTGTGTGCATCTGGGTATTTCTGCACTTTTGTATTTGTACATTTGTTTATATATTTATATATTATAAATTTTTATATTTGTCTATTCAATTATTTTCATTTACTTTAATCCCGAATTCCTGGGATTTTGGGGATTTTCCAAGGGATTGAGAGCCGGAGCAGCTGCTCGGTGACCCGCGGTGACCCCACTGACCCCAAAGCGACCCCGGAGCGCTCAGAAATGCAAAGTTGGAATTTTCGGGAATTTGGGAAGAGCAGGAAGAGTGGGGAAGGGAAGGGGGGAGGGGTTTTGTTGTCCAAAAATTGGGTTTTTTGGGGATAAAAAGAGGGAAAATCCCATTTGGAAGGACTCGGCCCTAAAAGGATCGTGGCTTCCCTTGGGATGGGAAACTTTGGAAAGGTTTTGATCCCAAAAAATGATGGATTGGGGACAAAAAAAATCAGGGAATGCTCAGGGAGAGGAGATTCATCCCAAAATTCCTGGATTTGTCCGAATTCCCTGTTTTCCTTTTGGGGTAAAACACTGGAATCCTGTGGGAAGATCCCTCCTTTTGAGGAAAAACTTGGAAATCTTATGGAAATGTCCCTCTTTTTGGGGGATAAATATGGGAATATTGAGGAAAATTTCTCTTTTCGGGAAAAATATGGGAATATTGTAGAAAAGTCTCTCTTTTGGGGGAAAAATATGGGAATATTGTGGAAAAGTCAATATTTTGGGGGAAAAATAGGAGTATGCTCTGGAAAAGTTCCTTTTTTGGGGAAAATATGGGAATGCTGTGGAAAAGTCAATATTTTGTGGGAAAAATACAGGAATCCTGTGGAAATGTCTCTCTTTTGGAGGAAAAATATGGGAATATTGTGGAAAACTCCCTCTTTTTGGGGGAAATCAGGGAATTTTGTGGAAATCCCCTTCCTTTTTGGGAAAAACCTGGGAATCGTGGAAAGACCCCTCCACTGGGGAGAATCCTGTGGAAAAATCCCTCTTTTTGGGAGAAAAATGTGGGAATCCTTTGGCAAAACCCGTCTGTTCCTGTCCAAAGGGAGATAAAAACCTATAAAATCCCATCCCGGGGTTCTTTTTCCCTAAAATAATCCGAATTTGGGATTTTTCCTGTCGCCGGCGCTGCCGCGCTGTCCCCACACGGTGGCAATGTCAGCCCGGCTGCTCCAGGAGTTCCCAAAAATATTTGGGAATTTTTTCCTTGGAGGAGGTTGAGGTTGGATTTTAGGGATAATTCCTGGAAGGGCAACGGCGGAGGGAGAATTCCTGGGAATGTTCAGGGTGTGGCACCTGGGGACTTCTCCGAGGGATAATTCCAGGATTTTGGGGTTCCGCGAAGATGTAATCGCGGGGATGGAAGGGACGGGGGGGATCCTGGATTTGGGATTTTTTGGGATGGATGAGGGATGGATGGATGGATGATGGATGGAATCCATGGATGGATGATGGAATCCATGGATGGATGGATGGAATCTATGGATGGATGGAATCCATGGATGGATGATGGAATCCATGGATGGATGGATGGGATGAGCACAAGGAATATGATGGCATCCAGGAAATTTGGGATCCTGGGATATTTCCCAATCTCAGGAGTGCATTTTGGGGCTGGAGACCCCCTGGAATTCCCGGCCCCGCCCCACGCTGCCCCTCCAGGGTGGAGGATCCAGAGGGGGATCCCAATCCCTTTTCCCACCACACCCCAAAACTGTCCATGTTCCCATCCCCACCCCAAACCTGAATCAGCCCCTTGGGCTGCAGACAGGGAATAAAAACGAGGAATAAAAACTTGGAATAAGATCCAGAAATAAAAACCAGGAATGAAAACCAGGAATAAATTCCAGAAATAGAAAAGGGAAATAAAAACCAGGAATAAAAACCAGGAATGAAATCCAGAAATAAAACCGAGAAATAAAAACCAGGAATAAAAACCAGGAATAAAACCCGGGAATTCAACCGAGAGGGGG